TTTGAAATCACTCAGAATTTTTGGTCACTGGTCATTTCTCAAACCGGTGTGCGACATTAATAATGTTCATGAAGTATTTAATGAGATTACTGCTGAATTAATTAAGTATTTAACTGATATCTGTCATTACGTTTGGTAGAAATTGTTGTAATTTATAATATTTTCGAGTAATTTGATGAAATGTGATTTTTCCTCAATTCCGTGGATCTCAATTCCGCGGAATATGGGGCATCGAATTGAGAAAATACGTACACCGAATTGATATTAAATGAAAATAGAGACTTTTATTGTGCTATAAATTGTTTGTCTATCTTAAAATAATAATGAAATCAATAGTGCATAATAATAGAGTGAACTACCAATCATTGGAACGTACCAGTCATTGGACAGAAGACAATAAAACTTATTTTTTGAGGTTTCATTAAAAATAATACACTGCTATTGCTATCTTATCAAAATAATTCTTCCAGGTTCTTCCCTCGACCTTCACCAGATCGTCGGTCTACCTAGTGGGGGGCCTGCTCACTGGTCCGTGGTTTCCACTCGACAATTTTTCAGTCCCAACAGCCATTATCTGTACGAGCTATGTGCCCCGCCCACTGCTACTTGATTTATGCAATTCTGCGGGCTATGCCGGTCACTTTGGTTCTTTTGTCGATATTTTCATTTCTGATTCTTATTAGGCTCATAGTCAGCGACCACGTTTCACATCCATACACCATCACTGGCAACACACACTGGTCGAAGACTTTTGTCTTAAGACACTGCGGTATTTCAGACGTAATAGCGAAGCTTCCCGATCGATGCTTAGCTATGTTGAATTCAGCGATAGACCTCTTTCTCAAAGTTGGACCTAACTATCTGGACTCTTGTCCCAGGTATACACAATTGTCAAAAACTTCGAGTGTAGTCTCCAACCTTCAGAGAAGTGGGTGCAACACGGACATTTGATATGATTTTTGTCTTGTTCATTTTGAGACCCACTTGTTGAGAGGCTCTGCGGAGGCCATCGAGGGTTGTGTTAGATCTTTCAAGGTCTCAGCCATGACTCCAATATCGTCCGCGATATCGCGACTCCTTGGTCTTCTGTATAATCTGCCGTAGCGTACCTGTGTGTGTACCATAAAACTAAAGCCTTTTCGGAAACAAGCTTGTTCGGAAGACTGGAAGTCGTCGAGTCTGCGAGCGAGATGATTCGTAAGGACTCTCGAAAACAGCTTGTAAACACACCTCATAAGTGAGATGAGTCTATAATGCTATCACCACACTTCTGTGCCATACCGAAGGCGTTTTTTCTTCGAGAATGACGGAATTGAACTGCTTCTGTAGAGCCTTTAGTACCGGCGAAGCTCAGCCATGATGCCGTAACACCCGGTGCCTTGTTGTACTTCAGCTATTTGAGAGCCATTTTAATCGTGTACAAACTGACGTCCGATATATCTTCGGTATAGTGTCAGGTCAATCTAGCTCTTGGGTCTTGCAATATTTGTTTTATGTTTAAGGTTAAGAATAAATAAACAATGAGACCCTGTGTTATGTTGTATTTATTTGTTTTATTTAAATAAAAATATTAAGAATTAATTATAGTTCCTTATTCAAAAATTAAACATATTGATTAGGATTTTTGTTTTATTCCATTGGTATTTCAGACACATAAACCTAAAATGAACCATCTAACTAATAGACCAGCAGTCAGATATCAAAACGTTTTAAGTATTTATTATATTGATTATTGAAATACATTAGATATTTCTTCATAATGACAATGTCATCAATTCTAACTCTGCGGAGCGATTTTTATATTTGGAGATTCATTTCTCAATTCCGTGATTCATTTTCTCAATTCGGTGCTCTCTCAATTCGGTGCTTAACTTTTCTCATAAACCACTTCACAATATTTAGTGACAATGCTATTTTTACATTCAGAATGAAGTAAAATTTATTGTTTTGTATTGAAACTACTTAAAAACCTAAATATAAATTTTAGCACCGAATTGAGAAAAAACACACCGTGCAGTAGAAATGCCCTTAAAGTGTTTTGTTTTATTTTTAATTTTTATCTGTAACCTCAGGCTTCATACATGTCCTTGTTAATGTTATCAATAGAACTATTTCTTCTATCTTAAGTAAGTACCCGTAATAATACTTAACGAGCTCGCATTTTGAATTAAATCATTGAACTATGACCTGGATTAGAAGATTTTGTAGATAACGTCGTAAACTCCTGACATTTTATATTTGTGCTTGAGCTAATAAATTCAGTATCTCAAGTTGGCAGAACCATTTGACCATTCTGGCATAATAATGACAAAACAATGGTCGACGTTTGAGATAAAGTATGCCGCGAAAAGCTCACCGATTCAAATTAGCATGCAATACATACTCGACTGACTTAACGTAACTATTTTCTTGATTACAATTGGTTGAATAAACTAAGTAAGTCACGAATTGTTGGGTAAAACTTAAAGTTTTGTTGTTCACAAGTTGGGTACCTGCCTATTACTTTTATAAGGTAAATAAAAAACCTAGTATTAATAGGTATATTATCTGTTGTCATTTTTAGGCGCACTAGATGAATGCAGTACGAGATTATTCAATGAGTCACTGAGTGTTTATCGTGCCTGAAAATCAAACACTAGAGAATTCTTCACCTACCACCAGACTATGGAGCCCATAATATAAAAAATGTTAGTATCTACTGGTGTTTTTTACCTTTCAAACACAAAATGAAAAGAACAAATGCTTATCAGTGTAATATTTCTTAATGTATGCAAGTCAAATTAAGGGTCCGCCCTTATTTCATAGTTTCTTAATTACCTACTTCCCAATCAACGTGAGAAGAAGCATTATTACTCGTATCACAAGTCTCACCCATCGCCTTATACATCACACAGAATACAATTAACTTATCTACAAGCAGTACGGTACATAAGAACAATGATACTTTATATTTGACTACGAGACCATGGAGAGTTTCAAAATAAAGTTCCACAAAATACTACAAAAAATCTCATTCATAGTTTTCCTAACAAAAAGTCAATTAACAACTGGCATTATGGTTGTTACACAATTGCTTTGCTTCAACCTGTCACTTTAACAAATTGAAGATTTTTTCTAGCGTAAAAATGCCTATCAAATTATGTAGAGTTCATAATCATCATCATTCAGCCTATACGTGTACACAGATGTTCCCAGATGAACATAAACCTGCCATTACCGTTATAAAATCGAAATACACCTTCAACCACTATTCTGCAATGTTTTTGTGTTGATATGGGCCTAATTTACAGTAGGTTTATTATGGTTTTGTAGTGCCACTACATACATACATGTACACTGAAAAACTTACAGTACCTACCTAAGTATAGGAACATTAACGAAACTAACATGATGTCCACTTAACCCAATTTAAGAAAAACAAATCGAAATAAGAAGTCGTTACCATAACAAAACTGGGTCATTACCTACCGTGTTGCTGTGGCCGTTTATGTGTGTACGAATCAATTACTATTTATTTATTATGTTGTTCATTTGGCAATAACTCGCTCTTTAAAAATATTAGGGTAGTGTCTTCTAATCAGGACTTTAAAGTTACACTTACGTGCTTATAAAGTTCACATCCATCAAGACCTGGCATTTCCTGTACAGCTGTACATTGAAACCTGATAATAGTGCTTAATAACAACCTAATATGTAGCAACCCTTACTCCACTTACGCTCCCGCACCCGTCCCATAAATATAATTGCGATACAATCCTGCAGCTTAGTTAATGGCAGATTAGTTTCATAAACTGATGAATTAACAGCGCACGTCACAAGTACGTTGAGTTTTATATGATACGTTGCACCGATCTTAATCCCCGTATTCAGGTTTAATTAATGAAGCAACTGCAGATTAAGAACACGCTAATTACTTTTAATCGTTTATTGAGTGTTAAATGTAGTGTAGATTTCGGATAATTCGAATGTAGAGCAGCTTTTTTTACTACTATTAGATATAATAGTGTTTACTGAAGTTCAGCGATTACAATACTTACCTACTTTTATAGCCATCCTAAGGTCTGCTTCAGTATTTTCAGTCTTCTTTAGTATTTAGTGCTTAGAGTAGGCTACCAGAGTGTACTCTCAGCAGGATAATTAATGATCATCGTAAATCAATAACCTAGGTACATTAAAAAGAAAGGAAGAACGAAAAAATTTGGTCCAAAACATACAATAATTACAATTGTACAGTTACAAAGAGGACTGATATTTCTAGATTGAAAACGAACCGTTACAGATAGCTTTTTACATCATTATAGTCTAGGGTTTCTTAAATACATAGAAGCCTATGTCCACTACTAAGGCTCGTTACATTTTTACTTACGTAATAAAATATTAGAGCTAATCAAATTCATTCATAGTTAGTAACAATCTAAGTTCAATCAGCTCATATTAAATTAACACAACATTTTCTACATTTCTGAGCTTAGGAAGGCTAGCTATGCAGGTATTTGTCGCTTTTGACCACATTTAAGGTTCTATGTAGTACTTACAAATTTAGAATTTTGATTTAGAATATGAACTGGTGCATATCCTTTTCCATAAAGGGGGAGCAAAAATCAATTAAAAAGTATGCTTACTACTTTATTCGAATGTAAGTATTTCCAAAATATCTAAGTCTTGAAATGCAAACATTCTTATTTACCCAGGCTGCACATAAAACATTCACGAAATTAGTACATACAAGAGATATACGAGATTATTACTATGACTGTATCATCAAGGTTAATTAGCTCTTTTTGAACTCAAATAGATATTATTAGTTACTTGTAATTAACTACGCGTCTACCACATAAAGATTGACTGTTTAATTGGATAGTGCACTTTATGTTAGTATTGTGCTCTATGGACATTTGTTATACCATGCGCGCGCGCAGACCGCGCCCACCGGCTCGGTGGCGAACGTTAAAAAGTATGACCCGCTCTTACACATATGAGATCGCTATATAAGACTTTGCAGACTCAGTTTGCTCTCATTTCGACTGACGCTTAACTTTGGCAAAGTACACCTCAATAAATTAGATGAAAACCACAAACATATTTTAAGTATATGATTAAACGCTAAGCAATCAAGTTAGAATGAAGTGGGTAAGTAACTTGTACTGAAATTAAATAACAAATGTCATCAAAATTAATAAGTTGCAATTATCGAATCTAATTTAGGATTTCATTATTTATTTACATAATTTATCTATTTTCACTTCAGTTTCGTAAATTCAATATTATTTTCATTTCAGGTAATCATCGCAACCGCCACATTGGCTTCAGTGTTAGCTTATCACGACCCCGATCTAAACTACCACCTGAGTCAAGTGCAAAAGTTACAGAATTGTGGTGACGCTGGATACTCCTACCCCGCGCCAGCAGTTCAACTGACGACAGCTGGAGTAAAAGTGGCAGCAGCTCCCAGTTACCAGTACTCCAATGCTGGATATTCAGCAGGCGTCGCCTACCAAGCCGTAGCACCCAGCATCACGTATGCTGCCCAACCGGCCACATATCAAACCTCGTCCATATCACAATCCAACTATGCGACTGCTTCAAACGAAGTGCACGGATACGCAACATCAGCTGGACTCTCCACAGTCAGTGGAGCACGAAGAACTGTTATTCCACAAGCTACCTATGCTCAAGCACCCATCATCGCCAAAGTGACAGCTGCACCTCTAATTGCCAAATTCGCAATTGCTCCTGCCAAAACCACATACGTAGCTCAAAACTCAGTGGTGCAGCAAGCGTCATCGGCATCAGCAGCTAAGGCATCACTGAATTCGTACAGCAACGTCCAAGCAGGAGGACCTGTAGTGTCTCAAGTGTACGCAGCGCCCTCTGCCGGGTATGCTACATCGGCGGCTTTGAGAGTCCAGCAACCTCAAGTGTTCACCCCTCAATACTCTTCTTATGTGGCCCCAGCAGTGACTCAATACAATCAAGCTGCTTCTGCGCGTGCCCATCTCGCGCAATACGCTACATCAGTGTCAAACTCGGCGAGCGGTTCCCAGTACTTTAGCCCAGCTGTGGCCCAATACTCCGCTCCTGCCGTCACTCAATACTCTGCTCCTGCCGTCACTCAATACTCTGCTCCTGCTGTCACTCAATACTCTGCGCCAGCTTTTGCATCAGTTGCTCAATACTCAGCTCCGAGAACGGCATCAGTGACACACTACTCCGCTCCTAGTGTGTCTTCAGTGACTCATTACGCTGCACCAGCCGTGGCTCAAGTACAAGCACCTGCACCTCTCGTCCACGCTGCCCCAGCAGTCCAGTACTCAACTCCAGTCTATGCTCAATACTCAGCACCAGCAGTCGCTCAGTACGCTTCATCTGGAGCAAATGTAGCCCAGTATGCTACATCCAGTGCAAACATAGCACATTACTCTACATCCGGGGCAAATGTAGCCCACTACGCGACGGCGCCCGTGGCTCAAGTAGCCACACAGGTGGCAGTGGCCGCCCCTGCAGCCAAGATAGCAGCTCCAATCGGCGTGAAGAACGTACACACAGAGTTTCTGGAAAATTACGTAAGTGTTCTTTCTATTCCTTTGTAACGTTTAGTGCTTACTTAAATCGCAAAATAATAGGTTATAATAGCCTTGAAGTTCCTTGAATACTGTTTCGACAACTGCGCGTAAAATGTATTTATTGCCGTCTATCTTAGGAAAATATTAATTTTAGATATCACGATTTGCACTAAAGGCAACGTTACTTAACAAGTTTCGCATTTACGGTCACCAGCCTTGTTCAGATTGACAAGCTCAAAGCCACACCAAAGCCGTAGATTTGAAATTCAAATGTTGTGCTTTGATTTGGTTTTAATTACCTGCTTCTGTTTACTGTGGACCTGTTTCGAGGTGGACATTAGGGCAGATAGCGTAGGTGGTGATTTAGATAGCGTAAATATTTCGCCCCAGGACATTGCAGCACATACGGCGTTACCACACATCCCTGCAAGTGACGCGATGATGCAATGTGATCTGATCGACCGTTCAATTTGATCCGGGACTGGTTCTATGACATCAAAATCTTAACCAATTAGTCACTCAAATGTAAGAAATTATCGTATGTCAAATTACGTTATGCAATCGATGGTATTTAAGTTATTAGAGATTACTTACAAACCTACTTTAACATACCAACGGGCAAATGCACCTGAAATCTATTTTTTGTACTTGCCTTTACGATTACATGGCAACTAGGTACTCGTACTTACTACATCCTTAGAAGCTTATTATTCAGTTACAAACTCTTCAATTCTTCTATTTAGATACCTACAATAACAATTTTAAGCGTGAGTCACTAAAGTTGTATACTAGGAATATAAGTCAGTAAATTATAAATTTATAAATAGAGGTAACCGGGCGTGCTCTATAGCTGAGTAAGCATTATTTCCGATAAGTATCGAGTGTTGCGAAACGCAAAGTCCTTTAGCAAAGTGTTAAGCGCCCATTCGCGAGCTTTAGCGGAATAAAGCGCATTTGCCCACCTCATTCGGTATTCTGTGACGTAACAGCTATAAACCTTGTAAACAATCGCAGTGCAATCCGAGCAGGATAATCAAGAGCATTACTTTCGAAACTCATCACTTTAAAACTCAACCCACTTTACATAAAGAGCAAAAAATTAAATACGAGTTTATATTACAATTTCACATCTCATCCAAAACTCATCACTTTGAAAAGATCGTTATGCCTTTTTCTTTAACAATTTACGTAAGAGATTAACTCAATATCGATTCGAAAATAATCCTCGGTACAATGAACTTTCGGCCCTTGGTTTCTCGAAGGCAATTACTTAAATAACTTAAAAGGACATCCTTTGTATAACAATAAAGTATTTAAGTAGGTATGTAAGTAGGGATTCCTTAATTGCGTAAAAATGTAAAGTTCTACGATGTAAGATTTTAAACAACCGAAAGTTAACAGATCATTGATGGTTAATCCATGAATTACGAGATTACTATAAATTATTTCAAAAAGCAAGAAAACTAAACTAAATATTTTTAAATTTGAAAAGTTCATAGCGTAAGTATATTTATGAACCTTTGTACAATTTGTTTAATCAGATAGAGTCAAATTCAAATTCAAAACGTTTAATGCAAGTCACATTACAATTTATGTTGTTGCAAAATAGAGGTAGGTATACATGTGACGCCCTGCAAGGGCACAGCAAAACATCGAAGAGAGAGGATTAATTTTTACCTTAAAAATAATATAAAATAAGATTTGAGTGAGTCGTTTTAGTAGTGCTTTTAGTACCTAAGTGTGAATTTATTAATAAACACTTTTCGCATTTCGTAAAAAGCATATAAAACACAGGATGCCATTCATCAGACACCTACTTAGTCGAAAACCAAAGGTGTGAAGTAGACAGGTAGGGGAGAGTGGGGTAAAACTCTATCGTGTCTCAAAATATGTAGTATTTTGTGATGGTGTGGATTATTAAATAGTCGGTAACAACTCCTTGTTTGTAGGTATACCAAAAGGTACATCATTTAGGTAATTCTAGTTTCCGAGTAGTAAATCATTGATTACGAAATGTACCTAAATTTAAAAAAAAAAGAAGTTCATGTACTTATTCATGTAAAATATGCCAAAATAATAAAACCATAGAAAAATTTTTTAATTACATTACTTGTTAACATTATAAGCTTTCTACATTAGATTAAAAATCGAGCGCACTCTGTCAAAACAATGTTTATGGTGGAAGCTGAGCCGGACACTACGTAGTATTTTGTTATAGTTAGTTATTTGCTTAAAGAACACTAAACTCCCGGTACCTACATACTTACTACCAACCTCACTCTCCTCTAAGTAATTAATTCTAATAAGAAACGGATTTGGCACGCGCAGTCTGCTGCTAGCCTACGACTCTACTAAGATTTATTATGCAAGAAATCAATTTTAGGTTAAAAGTCTAATTTGGATGAATTAAAACTAGTAAGCATGAGAAAAATCCATGTCCGGTAACTTTATTTTTAATCTTGAAAAAACAGAGTTAAGGCCTAGGTAGAGTCGAATGCGCGCGTATCTAGATCATTAAAATGCCTATTAGTAGTTGCCAGAAATCACTTTTTTGTAGTAAAAAACTCGTTCAGTTAAGTCTAACCAAAACCGTGAAAGAAAGAAAGAAAACAACATTATTTTGGCAACAACAGATTCAGGCAACAAAGACATAAGTACTTAAGTACACAAAAAAAAACTAAGTTGCCAAAAAAGGTCACCCACTCAGTAACATTGGTAACATCTTGACAGTGTGACTGCCAAGACACTGATTTTTAGTGGGTGACCAACTTTTCTTGTATTTGTAAAATCAGATATCCTTTAACTTAGTAGGTACGCGACAATCGTGACCTAATCAGGAAAGTGAATTGCCGTTTTATTTATGACTGAATTCATTTAGTACCTACTACGTGCATTACAAATAACAAAGTAATTTTAATTAAATTATAGACAATGTGCAAGAACTAATAATTCAAGTAAACTATTTGGAATTTAGTAAATAATTTTAGAATGGAACTAGGTACACTATATACTTATGTTTCTGTCGAGCTTTCGAAGACATGTTCTTTATCAATTTAGGTATCTACAGGTTGTCAGGCGGCTATAGGTAACGTATGATGCTAATAAATTGGGATAGGTATGGATAAACATTTTTAAGATAAATAACACTCCACGCATTGTAAGGTAATATACTCGCATACCTACCTAATAAGACAAGACAAAAAGCTCCTCTATAATAAATAAAAGTTCAGCGCCTATCGATTCCGAGAACTTTGTACCTAATTGGCTAAAATGGTGTTAACATAACCACTGACCTTTTGTCCCTGTGGTTTGCCTTACAATGCGTAATTTCCACCTAAACGCCTTGTTGAACTTTAATTAACTGATATTTCTCACGACATTCTGCCTTATAATCATACTGTGTGTGTGTGCAGGACGCTCACCCAAGATACGCCTTCGAATACGGAGTCAATGATTCTCATACCGGCGACATCAAGCAGCAAAAGGAGGAGCGTGATGGTGAAGTAGTCAAGGGTATGTTTTTTTACCGTTCTAAGACGAATTTTAGTCAGTCAGTCACGGTACTATCTATTCCCACTTCTCGTTCCCACTGCAGTAGCTTCTGTGTAGCCGGGATCAGCTTCAGTGCTTCAGCACAGTCAGTCAAGACCTAACTAGGTAAATCTAATGTGAGTAATAAGGAATATTCTCATCGGAGGTGACTTAAAAACTTCATCAATCTGTTCCGTTAGAGGGAAAAGCTTCCTGTCGCGGAAGTTCTGGGTTCGATTCCACGACGGTGCGCAAAAGTGCAAAATTATTTATTATGATGGTCAAGATATTATTTATGGACATTGCAGGCTGAAATCAAAATGAGTGCCTGAATTGTTACGATCTAAGTGCCTGATGTAAAATGAATGTGGATCAAACCAAAGGGCGCAGAACTTAATGACGCAACAAATGCTGTTCATAATATGAGAAAGTTTAAACGGCAATACGGTATTCTCTTACTTATTCAAAACATTTCGGAACGTGTCCTTCAACCATCATTGCTGATCACTTGAAAGCATTTTAAATTACCCACCGAAAATGTTTGAGTGATTTTCATAACATCGATGATATTTTCGTAACATGTCGCTTAAACATGCGGGCACAATTTAGAGCAGGCCCAAGTCGAATTTATGAGTTGTTTACAAAGTTGTTCCATATCCAGGTCAGTATTCTCTGGTGGAGCCCGACGGGTCGGTGCGGACCGTGGACTACGTCGCCGATTGGAAGACCGGTTTTCACGCAGACGTCCGTAACAGCAAACAAAACCAACATTAGAACTTAGCTGTAAAGACAATCACCTACTTTATCTACTGATTAAGATGTAAGAATGTCTTAAAAGTCAATTGATCTAAGTTTTAGACCTATAGGTTAGTCCAACTGAAGCCAAGCAGTACTAGTATTCGATTTTCAACACTATTCCTTATGTTCGATTCTGTAAGGCTCAGACAATAGTTTTAAAATAGTTTTAAAAAAATCTGGAATGTGCCCAGAATCTCTTTTGAGGGCTACTTAAATGCGCGCTTAATTATTAAAGTTACAAGTGAATGTAACACTGGTTTTAAAATGGTTTATTATTTTCATACAAGAAATAGTTTTCAATTAGCGTTAATGGCGCGGTTATTACTTTTATTTGTAGAGATTAAAATCGAACACCACCATGATAATAATTTAATTAACGTCTTTTGTTTTTATATAACGATTATTTACTTCAAGTCATAACTTTATTTAGCTCTTATGGTTATTCTAAAAACCAAATTTTTTTATTATGCTATTAAGATGCATGTTTGCACGAAAATAAAACCTGTTCAACAGGCTGTAATGATGAAAGTAAGTAGGATTCTGAAATTGACCATATACAATCTAGTAATTAGGTATGTTTTGTAAATTATCTTAATAAAAAAGCTGTGTAAAAATAGGATTAATCATTTTGTAATAAGGTGCTATTTTTTTTTTAATTTAAAATACTTATTGATTAAATTGATTACAGTCAGCACGAGTTATTCAGGATCTAAATGTTATTAAGAATTTTTCGTTATTATTATTTTAATTACCTACATATTATAATATAGCCTTCTAAGATAATACCTAAATGGGAATTGGAAGGCGCTTTACGCTGCGCTTGTCTATAAATGTATTTGCCAAACATACTTTTGTTTTTCTTGTTTCATACAGATCTTCTGTAGGTAGTATAATAATTATTGTATATTGTTTAAATGATTATTTCAATAAAGTACCTGAACTATTAAGCCTTTTTTGTTTTCTAATCTACGCCAATCCAAAATACCATTGATACCAAGAAGGTAGATACATACATTTATAGCATCATCCCATTTTAAGCTTAGGAACCTGTACAGATAACTTACAGAATACATTATACATTATATATTATACCTGTACAGATTACATTGCCAACCCTCTAATAAACTAAAGATTTGTAATAAAAAACATTGCTTCCCTTCACAAAATCTATTTAAAGTATAAAGATTAACAACCATAAATTAAGTATAACAAATTAAATTATGAAATCTGTAAAATTAAATTCCACTTACAACTGGTAAACTTAATTAATATATCACAGCACCCTGTTAACCCAACTTAAAAATATTTCATTTGGCATTATTTACTTTACTAATCCATAACTAGTCTGTTTATTTCTTTTCCATTATAATAACATTCTGGGCAGGTAAAGTCTTGGTCAGCAGTTTTGTTGGCCTGAAGCAAACATAAAAATTACATTATCAAGTGTAAATACATATATCATACTATAAAAAGATCCACAAATTGTCTATGTTTAATTCCTTTTAATTAATCTAATTCAAGGCATTATATTATAAAATAGACTATAACTTAGAAGCCACTTTTAAATTTGTCATCTTTTTCCCACTATTAAATTAAGTGTCCTCATGAGTGTNAAGTGTATAAAAACAATATTCTGTATTCTGTAAGACCCTTATCGAAGTATGAGTAGGAACTGCTTTACTTCATTTACAGAATTTTCACATTAATAATAAAATGAATTAACAGAGAATAACAATTACCGTCAAACAATAGTAACAGAAAATGTGTGAACAGCCCATTGTGTGTGGCAGCACTGGTTTACTCATGCAGCAGGGGCATGTAGAGTTTAACGTCATTACTGCCGGCTTTAAAGAGCCTGCGGCACTCTTGTGGTTCCTCCACCATGCATACTTTAACACATAAGAAAGCTTCTTTTTCAAACCAAATATATTCATCAATGATATGGCAGTCCCTATTAGTTCCTGCAACAAAAATCCAGTTCAATAAAAAGATTTAAAGTTAGAACTTAAAGATTTGCTCAATTAAATATTGCCACTTACAATAAAATTATGCCATAGCAGTTCTCGGGTCCAAGAAAAATCAGTAAGATCCTCTCTAGTCAATTTATCAGCTGTCAACTCCAGTCCCAGTATAGAGTCTATCAGTAAAGGGTTCTTCCCACTTTGGATGAACCTCAAAAAGTTGATAATATCACCTATCAATTGGAATGTTTCTAGCTTGTGAAGCATATTTTGCACACCAGTATTTGAGGTCAAACTGTACAAACATCTATCTTTCAGATATCTTAGACCCACTGTATACCCGTAATACCAATAAAGTTTGTTTTGGGAAAAGTTATCCTTCTTATATTCAAGAGACAACATTTTCTGACCATAAGTTGATTTTGTGTTGTACACTGAATATTTGAAAATCCATGTTCGTATTAGAAGATCTATCTCTGGTAGTACTGGTTGAAGAATACCAGGCTGGAAAATAAAAATAACATTAGCAAGCCTGAAATAAATCAAAATAATCATTTAGAGGTAAGGAAATATGACATACCAACCTCAAAATACTTAACAGCTTGAAATAATGACTGCCTCAACAATTCTTCTACTTGTTTGTCTAATTGACCAGCATCTAGCTAAAATTGTAAACAATTTAATAAATATTTAGGTAATTAGAAAATATGAAAAAGTAACTTCAACAAAAATACATGATATTGCAAATAACATTTCTCAGGTGTAATGTATCGAAATACAAAACATGCATGAATTTCCATGCTCCAGAATGCTACCAAGCAAAATGTTACTGAATAAAGTTTAATGTTTTGCGCTATTATTGATTGTTATAAACTTATCTAAAAAAAACTATTACGAGCAAAATTATTACGTGCTGTTATCAATCATTTACTTATTTACCTGTGTGACACGAGGGACGTAGTTTAGAGTCATTTTGGTACACCAAAACGCTTTTACATTCAGACCAACTATTACGTTTAGACTATTAACATAATTATTGGTCAGCAATTTAAATTAAAGTACATATAAATCAAATCAAAATCAACGAAATTATACTTGTAAACATTCAGCAGCTGACCGTCAATCTCAATTGACAAACTGTCAATTTGACAATAAGTTCACTTTTTTTTTGGTTTATGCTTTTTACAGCTTTGGACGATGTCGAGCCAAAACAAGTTATGGACAACTGTGGTCATGGATAAGATAAAAAAAGCTAGTGTGAGCTTTTGATATTAATTTATTCAAAGAAATCGTGTAATATCTACAATTTTTAAGGTCGCTTTCACATTTAGGCGTGACACACACACGACAGACATTGTCTATTTACAATACGTTCAAAGCCGTGAAACTTCTTAGAAAAAAAATATCTGTCAGTGTCAGTCAGTCAACAAAATAAATTGTCAAATTACGAAATATCGTGTCGTGCGAGGTCGATTGTTTGTATGAAACTTTTATTAAAATATCAAGAGCTTAAAGCTAATATTTTCTTATCGGGATTGTTTGTTGTATAATGGACGTATAAGGACAATAAATAATTAAACAAATAGCGTCATGGTTGTATCACCACAAAGTCCTGCTGCTGACGCCCAAAGTGTACAAGGAAGGAAAGCCAATATGGCGTCTAAACAGACATCTGTAGCAGACACAAGAACTGAATTAGCAGATCTGGTAAAAAGAAAGGCTGAAGTAGCTGTAAGTACACAATTGATGCATGATTAATTTGATTAAGTCTTACACAAAATGACCACACATACACATTATTCAATTAAAATACCACACAATAATAAACAGACCTCATACTTGTAACACTGCTTGTGTAAATAAGCCTTTGTTGTATTTGTGTAGATCATTGTGAATAATTTTTAATTCCATTCATAGTAAGCAGTGGATGTCTTTCGGCTGAAACGAAGGAGATTAAATTAACCCTAAATTATTGCACATTACTTTCAGGAAACTTTAGCAAACTTGGAACGCCAGATTTATGCTTTCGAGGGATCATATTTGGAAGATACTCAACTCTATGGAAACATCATTAGAGGATGGGACAGATACCTTACCACCAACAAAAGTACAAACTCCAAGGCTGATAAACGTAACAGAAAATTCAAAGAGGCTGAAAGATTATTCTCTAAGTCGTCAATCACTTCTATGGCTGTTAGTTATTGATGATTTTTAACCATTTTTTCAATGTTAAACACTTGAAATATATTTCTCATCTCCCTTCACTGCTTTTCAGGCTGTCAGTGGACTCGTGGACCCTGCTGAGGCTAAGAGTATGTTGAACATTAAAACCCTACAATTTTATAAATCTTTGTTGAAAATTTGCTCAAATAATATCTTTTACAGATGAACGAAACAGTGAAACCGAATCTCAAACTAATGAGGATTCATCAGACACTCAAATCAGCACCGGATTGAATATTGGCAGCCTAAATCATACCACTATTCACGGTTCAACTGAGAGCATTGCTTCCAAGCCTTCAGGCAAACAGCACACTAATGGCATTGATAAGGTGTTGAGTCATGCCCAGACAAAGCAAAATGCTACTCAAAAGATAGCAACATCATCTGGCATGTTACACAAAGCATTTGGGTCAGATAACAAAATGTTGGCTGCTGTTGGATTAGATAGCCGCCCGGGAACTCCTAAAGAAAAGGACCCCAGCTTGGGATTGCTGACCAAAAGTGATAACACACCTAATCCACTGAAACATAAGTTGTCAAATAACAACAACTCCAATAATATTAAGAAAAATAACAACAAGAAAGCAAGACATAGATAAATTATTTAAATTAAGAGATAATTAATTTTAATGATTTGAATAAACATACCTCTTAATTAAAATTAATATTTCCAATAATATTAAAGTCTGATTGTTTGAATACAGTAAACATAGAAGCTTTTAACAACTGAAGATGATAGTCTTGCAGTACTTACTGAATCTTTGATTTTATATTATCAATAAATGCATGCATCAAACAATAGGTATTGCGCCAAGATACTTAATGAAAGGACCTTTTTTTATCAAAATATAGGATTTAATTTCTAATATAACATCTTTGGTGTGTGTAAATAAATGATGACAAATTTTGTATTGGTTTTATTTCAATTTATCCTTCTATAACTTTGAACAGATCTCATTATTGATTGCTTGAATCTGGATTCTGAAAAAAAGGTGAAATTGTAACCATTGTTATATTACATTATCAAAATATTTAACTACTACCACATAACAACCTGCATAATCTTTTAAAACTAGAAAATGATACTTGGTGCATCAACAGAGAAAGTTATTGAAATATGTAATCCAGATTAAATTGTAGAAGATATAGTAAAAGTTACCTTTGAGAACATTAGGTAAATCTCTGATGGGGCCACAATATCTGACAGCAACATAATACAGCAGTGGTAAAAGTGATATGATAGCTGTACAACACAAGAATATGACCTCGGGGGTCTTTCTCAGCTTGCAGCAATTGAGGGTCTTGCTCCATATGGATCTTGTAGTATTCATCTAGAAAAAGAATTGAATTAATTTACAGTAAAGATAAAAAACTTAAAAAATACTGAATGAAATAAACAAAACTTACTGAATCAACTGTGTCCATACAAACAGTGTCAACACCAATGGAATCCTTACTCAATGTCTTATAAAACATGTCTAGGGCTAAGTAAGATTGCATACATTGAACACAAACTTCATCAGTATTGTTCGATGTCGGATCCAAGTTACTGTTAATACAGTTTATGGTGTCTTCAAACATTTTATTAAACTTCATTGTGTTATTTGAAGGTTTTGCTGCCCCTTCTGAGAAGTCAAAACAATCTGTAAATATTCAAAAGCATTAAATACACAAAACATTTCTGTGAATCAACAACAGGCAATGTCTAAGCATTGTCTAAACTATGACGCAACACATGAAATACAACTGCAGCGATAATAAAATAGCTAAGTTCATGTTCATAACTCCATACCATCACAATGTCCTTTATTCCAAATATCTGTAATGCGGTCATGAAATTCTAAAACAACATCAAATCTGTCTTGAGAGATAAACAAGGACCCGCATGAGGTCCCATTTATTATTGTGGTTGTCAAGTTATGATAAGTATTGGAGAATGCTAAATAGTCGGTGATACAGTTTTTACACAGTGTTATGGGTTTGGCATTTGTAATAGAACACAATGTAAAATCAGAGGCAGAGTGAGCTAGCAGCTTCAAAATGGTAGTACATTCTTCTGGGTAAGGCTTAATGTAGCCTCCTCCTCTTATTAGTCTGGAAAAAATAAGTTTTAATGTTATCATAATATTTCATATTGCAACGCGAACGTTGAGACACGGGTTGAGCACTTGTAAATAAGGTTCAATACCAACTTCATAATCTCTTGAGCATTGATAAAACTTTCGTCATTTGCACTTATTGAACTATGCAAGAAATAGAGTATAAAAAAACTAAGATATTTTCTCATTTTATAAATTTTTTGAACACAAGTTTCTTCTATTCTTTGTCAACAAAGTGGTCAATCTGTGTGGTCAACAATACAAAAATACACAACTGTACACAACTGATGGATGACATTGACAATATTGACAATTTAACTTTTATTCCAAAATATTAGTAAACTCTTTGGCCATCATGCCATTGCTCACATGATTTTAATAAAAGGCTCATCGAGTATACAGTGTGAGTCACATTAAAGTACATATGAAAATAGATGAAACTAGACCTATTTTTATCGACAAAAAAGAGGTCAAAAAATTTTTGAGATTTATTTTTTATTTTTTATAGAATTTTTTTTCTTCAAATTACTTATTGTAAAGAAAACGTAATAACTTTTAAACTAAGCGGTATATCCTGATAAAATAAAAACAGTAATAATGCTAAATAACAGGCAATACTAAAAAAATACATAAAATACACAAAAAAAGCCAACAAATAATAAAAAATGATACTTTGTGAAAAAAATCTGCTTAAAAATTCGTGTTTTTTTGGTTATTTGATAAATTTCTCCAAAAAATGCCCCTATAACCGGTGGTTTTGATTACTTTGTATTATTTTCTATCGTATTATCTTTGTAAAACCAAAAATCGCATGTCTCTATCCCTATCACAACATTTGCTATGATCGTTTGAACAAAGGCCTGCCACAACATTATTCTCCGCTACAGGTAGAGACAATTTTAATTTTAACTAAAATGCTTATTTTACTTCGAAATCTTTTGTTTTTATTTGAAATCTAACTTGTCTTTATCAAAATTACAAATCTAGAGCCATTTTCAGTTTTGTTGTTAACGAAGCGTTGAATGGCGCGCCCGGAGAGGCTTAGTTCAAACAATCATTGCAAACGTTGTGATAGGGATAGAGACATGCGATTTTTCGTTTTACGAAGGTAATACGATAGAGAATAATACAAAGTAATAAAAACTACCGGTTATAGAGGCATTTTTTGGAGAAATTTATCAAATAACCAAAAAAACACGAATTTTTAAGCGGATTTTTTTCAAAAAGTATAATTTTTTTATTATTTGTTGGCCTTTTTTGTGTATTTTATGTATTTTTTTAGTGTTGCCTGTTATTTAGCATTATTACTGTTTTTATTTTATCAAGATATACCGCTTAGTTTAAAAGTTATTATGTTTTCTTTACAATAAGTAATTGGAAGAAAAAAAATTATATAAAAAATTAAAAAAAAATCTCAAAAATTTTTTGACCTCTTTTTTGTCGATAAAAATAGGTCTAGTTTGATCTATTTTCATATGTACACTTTAACGTGACTCACACTGTATAAGTCACAGGAGTCGGAGGTGACTTACATACTTTTGATGGGCTTTTGCGGTTTGTTTGGCACTTACAACTTTATAATAATAATAATAAATAAATACACTTTATTGCACACCAAACAAATAACATAACAGAAGTAAAAAGAACATAAGAACTTTGTGTAATACTAATCTATCTTTCATCATGTCATTGTTATTGTGCTGTCTCACTTTTGCCACAAGTAGCAGTAATAGTACAAGTTTTACAAAACAATAAAACTTGTATTATTGAGCAGAGACGATGCACAGCATCTGGTGAGAGATGCGTCTACTTCCGGTGTAGTTTTTTACCATTTTATACCTTAAATGACGTCATTTCCGCAATTATTTAATAGGAATTGATTTGACTTACTTCCGTTTGCCGCCATTTTAGTCACCTGGGGGCGAGCTTGCTCGGAGTTCTTCATAGAGAGCTCACCAGGAGGCCTTCTTGGGATGCTGTGCATCGTCTCTGCTCAATAATACAAGTTTTATTGTTTTGTAAAACTTGTACTATTATATCTGAGCAGAGTTTCTGCTTACGATGTTGCTAGTTTGGAAGTTAAAGACGCTATGAAGAACTCCGAGCAAGCTCGCCCCCAGGTGACTAAAATGGCGGCAAACGGAAGTAAGTCAAATCAATTCCTATTAAATAATTGCGGAAATGACGTCATTTAAGGTATAAAATGGTAAAAAACTACACCGGAAGTAGACGCATCTCTCACCAGATGCTGTGCATCGTCACATGCCGAATAATAATCCCTATTATCGCTAACCAAGCAAAAAATTATGGTTATCGTATCATGGTAATGGTCAAACATGTCAAGCGAAGAACTTTTAGCTCTCTATGTCCTTTCCNTTTAGCTCTCCTAATAAAACACTTTAAATATTTAATCTGGAACAATGGACATTGAACAAAAGTTAAAATAAAGTTGTCAATCAAATTTGAGAAATGAAAATTTACACGAATTTGTAGTATTTGTTTTTTAATTTACGATAAAATGTGAATTGTGATTATTACACCGCTGTGTTCTAAACAAAATAATTGCGTTCGTTTCAATATGTTAATAGATTAAGTAATAACTTCACAATCTTACAATAAAAGGATTTTGTTCAATAATAAAATGGATATTGAGCCTACACCTGAAGCTCTACAAAGAAAACTATATTTCTTATTAGAACAACTTCAAGACATGGCTCGAGAATTACCACCGTAAGTCCCTCTACCAGGTTCTCGGAGATAGCTACTTGTCGAGCCAAGCTTTATATTATTGTAGTTGCCATCATTGCCATTTCATCCTGCTTCTAGATCTTGAAAGTTTGGGCTAATGTCTAAGCAGCAGTGCATGCAGTTTAAACAAATATGTCGTGAATATAATTGTACTTGTACTTGTACCTATATTTAACATTATTATTTTTTAGGAAATACCAAATGAGAGTTCCAATCGAGCTTCTGTCGGGTCTAGCTAATTGCCTCCTGAATGAAACAGTATTTGAAATAGTCAAAGGCCTAATGGAAATTCAACATGTTACTGAAAAACATTTATTTCAACAAAGACTGCAAATAATCAACAAACATACCTGTATGTTCACAATATTTTTAGTGTAAATTTTGTTTGGCATGAAATTTTTTGTATACTGTCACTAAACTATGTATTATAATTTTTCAGTGGAAATTCAGAATATGATTAATACTTCAACAAGTCCTGAACATCAGGAATTGCAGAAAACCATATTACAAAGGCGACATAGAGAGGAACTTAAACAGACAGACATGAAATTAGTTATCCAACTTGATCAAAAAGTATGTGGAAGTATTAAATATCTATATTATATCTGTATTATTTGACCCAAAATGATTAAAACTTTTTCTTTTGCATTACAGGTTAGTGATCAACAAGTGACATTAGAAAAAGCTGGAGTTCCCGGATTTTTTGTTACAAATAAACCTATTGAAGTTAAAGTCCAGATGTACCTATTAGATTTTATATTAAGACTAAGTAAAATGGAAATCCCCCAGGGAGTTATGTGATAATAAATAATTTATACAATAATTTTGTTTTGAAAAAATTCCGTAAATTTATGTATTTAATACGTTTTCATCACTGAGACTCTCACTGGGTCAAAATTGGTCCATAGATTTAGATACCCACTTCACAGCAAATCAGCATAATTATTTGATGACAACTTTTTAATTTCTAGCATCTGAAAGATGTTATGTAGATGCTGTAACTCTCAAGCTTTCTAATTTTGTTTAGGTAATATAGTTTGTAGACTGAGCATCTAAGTAGACTAACTACATACATCCACAATCTACACTGATATTATGTTATTATATGACTGCAACATTGGTTTGTATAATTTGTTGTATGTATAATAATCTAACTACTTAATTGAATGTTTATAAATTATGCATGCAACTCAAAGGTGTTAAAATGAAACCAATCAATTTTTCAATATAAATTAGCTTTATTTTTGGCTTTTATATGCCATCAAAGGCGTTTTTTAGTTACAGTACATAATAATTCCAGTTGAAGAAACTATGAAACCCACTGTTGGTCAATGTTAAAAAAACTGCACAAATGTAAAGAAAAATCCCAAAATTCAACAACCTTGTAACTGTGAATTTTTTTACAAAACAAATATTCATGAATATCTATTTTTTATTGTATTGACAAATACACTATACATTTTTATGAGTTCTACAAACATCAAAATATTTTTGTTTTGTCAATTTTAAAAATATTTTAGTATTAATCTACTTAAATTTACAATAATAGAGGTAAAAAAATGTAATCTTATACATCCAACTTTGAAAATTATACCACTGATTGAATGCTGCACGGAATATGAAGTTATCGAGTAACATAGGCCACTTTTGTCCTGGGAGTAATAAGGATGCTCCATGAATCTTTTAAAACGTGAAAGTGACGCCGCGTTTAAGGGTTAGTGTGTTGGAAAACAAATGATGAATGTAACATGAATTATCAAAACTATGGAATCTTTGTTAAATGTTAATGGATTACAATACCTAGAAAATAAACAACAAGATGCACGTCATAATCAAGCTTACATTGTACAAACGCATGTACTGTGTACATGCAAGTATAAAATATATTATCAAGACTTGAAAATCATGCGCATCTTAATAGTTTTGAGTATAAATTCATAAATAGCTACAAACCATTTTAAGTCTGTACAATAGTTATCAAGTCAAGTAATATAATTAATAACATACATAGGCAGTTATAAAATTTCAATAAACAAATCTTATAATGTTTCCTATAACATTAACCAAAAGTTTCTCAAAATTGTAACGCTTATAAATAAAAAGCTTGCAAAACTATCATTACGATTTGTGCTTGAATAAATCATGTTAAAAATCACAATCATATAACTTTTATAAATCAGCGGGTATTGGCATAGATTTACTACACAAAAAATCGTAACCGTCAACAATTGTTAGGTACTTATGTTATTTTGTATGGTGTTGACTAAATTCTATGTAAAATAAACCATCACCATTACATTACAAAATTATTAGGAATATTAAGTTTATAACATGGTTAAAGATAAATTTAAAAATAACTCGTTTGTGCTGATTTATTCAGTCTCGATTTAGAAATAGCCACATAATTTAAGCCATTCATTTTGCTCAAAGAAAAATCCTTCAGTTGAAATACAGTATGATCAATTTCAACTAAATTAATGACTTTGATAAACAAACTGTTGACATTTACAAAGAACTTTTATAATTCAACAAGATGCTGTGTGAATAACTTTATTAGTTCAACAGAAAGGAATATTTTGTGCAAAGAATAACAAACCAATTTATAACATGTATACGTTAGGGGCCGATTTTTACCGCTTGCAAGATTATTTTCTATTCAAAATTGGGGCAAGTTTTTAGGAAATTTTATTGAATTTAGAAGTAACCATCCAGTTCTTTAGTTGGTGATGGTGGTTTCAATAATACCACTTTGGCAAAAGTCTTAAGGTAAATAACTGAGGCATGCGGCATCGGCCCTAACGCAGAAAAGACAATTTATTCAAGTCTTAAAAACTTTGGATTTTCATATAAGATGGTGATATACATTATGATAGAAAGTTTTTAACACTTTGACACTGTTTTATTTGTCTTAATAAGTTGGTCGATCAAGTTAATAATAATCTTCAACGTAAATTTGTACTCAGCAGCAAAAAAACATATGAATTAACATCTAAATAAATCCTTCCAACTAAATTATTTCAATTGCAGTACACCTTACAACAACAGTTATCTTGTATAAAATGTCAAAATATATCTTTAGGATCTAATGGTTTTAGAAGATATTTATTCATAAGTTTTAGATTTTTATAAAAATATTTTAAAACAACGGATTTACAATTTTACACCAACAACAAGTTTCCATTACTTTACTAGGATTTCATCTATTGCAAATATAATATTCACAAATACCGCACACTAATTTATTCAATTTTGTTACTAGAAAACAATTCCAGTTAAAACTATCTAATATAATTTTAAAAACACAAACATGATCCACACCAAATGTAAATAAACATAAAAAAAACAATGTACGTACAAATACTAGTAAATGTAGAATATTCGTTCAATACTGAGACAGGTACCTTATTTTTTTTCGGTTCCGTATGAAGAACCTTGGACGATTTTGGTCATGCCAATCGATTTTTGGAGGAGCATGTAAACTGAAACAAAAGAACACATTTAATTTTTATGTATTTTTATTTAAAAATAACGTTAAATTGTAATTAAAGTGTCGAAATACGAAATGAAATAGCATCCTATTCATAATTGCACTGGAAATGAAAACTCGTGATATCTATCAAAGGAACATTTAGGAAAATCACAGACTGATTCCCTTAAAATAGACCTGAAAGTAACTTCGTGCGTTTGCAATTGTTTTATATTGAAAGAATGATTCATTAGGCGTTTATCTTTGATTATAATACTGACTTCTGATAGCTTACACTAGTAGCATACTTACACGCAGCAAGGATAGCGCAACCGATGGAGAAATACAGAAGTTTGCCGCTCAACAACAGACCAAACAAATAGTAAAGCATCGGCGTGAGAGTCACCACCGCCCACCCTAAGGTGTTGATCAGCGAATACACTCGGCGCGACGCTTTGAACGGCTCGATCCTTTCCACGCCGGACTCCAGGAAGAAGTCTCCGGTGTTCATGAACGACTCTTGCATTTTATCCTGCAAAAGTAACGTGATTGGTGTTATAAACAAATGAATAACTAAAAATTAAACACATTGAAGATCTACTTCTTTACGACAACCAATTTTTTAAATTTTTGAAAGACCCCAAAAGATTAGTAAATAGCTTTAGAAACCTACGATGTCCCTCGTTTTCTAGTTTAAGAACTTAACGATATTCAAACAACTGAAAATGTAAATTTACAGTTTACTTAATAAAATGTCTAAAATTTTAATTTGAAAATACATAATTTTAGGTAACACACATAATATCTTACATTATAACAAAATACAATGTAGGTGCCATTTTTTTAAATTATGACCTTAGCATGAAATGACGAAAGAGTTAAACGTTTACCAATGCCAAGTGACAAAAAACTTAGGTTTTCTACACACATTAGCACTTTAACAAGTATCAAGTTAATACTTGAAACATGCGAAGTTTACTCGATGGTAAAATCTAAGATTCATTCTTAGGATCCGGCTAGTATCAATTATTTCGAGACGTTTTTATCGCACCCCATAAATATTGTTTTTACACACAATATAGGTATACGATAAACATCTTATTAATTAACAAAAATGTAAATCTCTGAAGGACATTCAAAGGCATCATTTCAGTTGCAGTTTTAACTTCAACAGTTGATTCAAAACAAAACATATTTGGAAATTGGACTTCGGTTCGATACATACAGATAACTTTGGTTGAGCAATGTTCATGTAATGAAACCCGTGACAGATAAGGAAATTATCTAAATTAAGACATGCAATATTGATCCCGACCTTAGGTCACATGAACATTCTCTTGATTATGCAGTCTGGTGTAAGATCAATAACCCAGAACAAAGGATGAGTGGGTATAATAATATTTGCAGAGTTATAACTGAAATAGATTCTTTTGGAACCCATTTCATAAAACATTGGTATCTTTACAGAGGGCATCAGGAAAATCTTAAATCTATTAGTATATTTAGCACACGAGCGGAACCGCGGGAAAATCTACGATAAAAGTACGATAATTAATTTTATCACTACAACTAGTGTCTGTCTAAAACAGATAGTAAGTAAAATAATTAATTCTATTATTTATTGTGTAGTGAAAAATAAATATTACGGTGCTTCAATTAATTTTATTTATCAAATAATATTATTTAGTAACATACGAGTAAAACTATATCACGTTCTAATCATTAATTAATCCTACAGATTTCCATATCTGTAAATTATAAAATGTAGCACAGTGTTTTGCCCGCGGTTTCGGTTTGTCGCACTTCCCAGATAAAATATGTGTTGCCAAAGTTTAAGTAGTTCTGATGNGTCTGATATTGCTTAATTTTAAAATATTTCAAACAGTTCGAATCAAACCACATAAATCATGTTTCACATTGAGAGATTTTTTTAATTTACTAATTAAGTTTAATCAGTACAAACATAAAACTGAGTATGTGACATTGAATGTGTCTGTTTACCTTAATTAATTGTAAAGTTAAACATAAAATAATATTTTTTTCCTTAATGTTACCCAAAATTTATGTTATGGTTTAAATTTATGATGTAAAAACCCAGTGATTGCATTACATTCAAAAATATTTACATAGTATATTATTTTTATGTACAGACATATTTTATTATTAAGTTATATGTATTTATAAGATAAAAACCATCCAGTTGTTATCAGTAAAGTCTGGCTGTATTTTTATTATTATCGGAAGCCGGTTGACATATCAACCGCTCCATTAGGTATTAATGTATAGCCCGACCAGAGCCCCGATTACGGTATTTTTTAACGTCAACAATCCAGACACGCTTCTCGATTCTGCGATACGATTGGTCGTTCAACAGCGTACGTCAGCTGTTTTGACCAATCGTATCGCAGAATCAGAAACGCGTCTGGATTGTAGACGCTATAAAAGTTACCGTAATCGGGGCTCAGGAACATAAAAACCCTCGCCATGTTGCGGAAAACTAATGGTACTAATTTCTTTTAATGGCAACAGTAACTGAAAACTTCATTGACATGCCACCTTGCATGTCAGTCTATTGCTGTCAAAATGTAAACAAACTTTATTTTAAATGTGCGCAATTGATTTTGTGAATTAAATTGCTAAAATCTTTTTATAGTCATGAAAGAAAAGTGGTTCACAATGTGTTAAAGTATTTGTCGAAGAGAAATACTAAGGGTTCGGACAATATTTTCATTGAATAATGTTTCCGACAAAGGTTGTCAAATTGACTGACATGTTTATCGTATAGTACAGTCCACTATGAAAATTAGCTGTGGTTTGTTTCAACTACCTATTTTAAAATTTTTTGTCACTTTCTTAGTGTTGAATTTTATGGCATTGGGAAAGAAGTACTTACCGAGTTTGAAGCGTTCATGTGCAGACATTGCAGTTGATTATTCAAGTTCTGAATTTGATTTGGTGAATAATAAAATAAATCCTACTGGCTCGATTGATGGTTTCATTTAATTTATTTAAACCAGGTTACCTATAATAATATTTTTTCGTTAATTTATGAAAATATCAAATTAGCCCGTAATCCTGAATCCTGACACATAAAGTTAGCCTATTAATTTAACACAGGTACGACTGTACTCAGTGTTGCACTATCAAATGCAATTGACGCGCCTCTATGCCAGGGTTTTTATGTTCCTGGTCAGGCTATAATTTATATTGCTCATCTAATCTAATGATTTCTTAAATACATAATTTATTGATTAATATATTATTATCAAATCTAATACGATCTGTCTATGTCAAAATATTTTTGTTAGAGAGTTTAAAAAAACTAAATATGTAAATAAATAGAAAATAAATCGAAAATCTATACAGATAAGTCAAAGTTTACGCTACGCACTACAAGCTACCTATAAATTAGCGTAGCATTTATCTCAGTCAAGGACGTCCAGTTTAACGTATTAACGTGCTTAAAATTATTTTCCGTTTTTGGAGTATTGATTAAACTAGTAAAACTACTATACTACTAATATTTATACTATACTACCTAGTGAGGAAACACTAAATTCGTTCAACTGTTTGTAATATCCTATTCGTTGCTGTCAGGATAGAGCATTTTTCGATTACCAACGTACAGGATGTGTTGTTATTTTCTATATTTAACTGTGGGGATCGAATGTTCGGCGTAGGTACCTATATGTATTTACATGAATTATATAATATCGTGCCACTCATTATAATTGATTTATAAAAGTTTATTTTGGTTTGTTATCTGTAGTTCATTATGTGTCACGCGATCAAAGTTTTCGCGGGATAAAAAAAATCCACACAATTCACCATTTCAAGTTCATTGCGACGAATGGTATACTATGTTCTTTTATACCTTTCTTTTCTATACCAAAAAGTCTTTTAGTTGGCCGATAGTTGGGCTCAATTCTAATTTGTATGAAGAATCGAACGAAAGTTTTTCGCACTTATAACATCAGTATAATGCTTTGTGGTGTGGTAACTGAAATAATGAATTAGTAGGTATCAGTTTAACCACAGAATAATAATAAGTACTACGTACAGAAGTTTTACTTCGCGAAAGTACTTAAAAAAATTATGCTCAATGTCATTAACAATATGGTGTAATTTAACCTGTCTCAAGAGTAAAGCACCATTATGTTGACAAACGTCAGTGATCGGCACTGCGCCGAAGCTATAGGGCTGACTTCGGTAAAATGATGTGACGTGAGGTGCCAAACTGCGGAAAATGGCGAAGGAAATACATGATTTAGCATGAATTATCATGAATAATATTAACGACTTATTTACCTCTCAGTGTCTTGAGGCAACTTAAAAAGTACATTCTGTGTTTTTATTATTATTTAGGCAGTTAAATACTTACTGCACAGTATTTAGTACACCATTTTCTTTATTTTCTTCCATCATACACAAGAATACGCGTGCGTAAGTCAATGTTCGCTCATGTGAGGCCTTGTCGATTAGTATCCTGTAGGTGGGCCATCGTGCGTGTTTTGTTTTCGATGTAAACTCGCGGAGATGAACAGGCCTAGTTTAACTTACTTTTACGACGAAGAGGTCGTGTAACCAAGTAGCCGCCTCGGCTTCATCATGCGGCACGGTCTCGACCGGTATTCTCTCGATGAGTAAATGCGCGTGCACCGGTTTCCCGAACAGTAAACTGGTTAGTGTAGGGGGCGTCTGAAATATATCGGAAACTTGAGTAACTTGGTAGGGGAACTATAAAAATAGTAATATGTAATAAACATCCGAGATGACCCTAAAATAAGCGACAAATGAAGAGTGAGGCTGAAAACATTTGCCGCACTCCTGCGCAGACACTTAGGTATTTACAGTAGTTTTTTGCAGCAGCTGAGTTTTAAGGTCGAAATTATTTGCCCGACATGACACGGATAGACGTATATTTTATTTTGTTTCTGTTATTGGACTTTTGAATTAGTTATTGATTTAACATGTCGGTATTTACTTAGTTATTTCAAGAGGTGCCGACTTATTTATACATGCAAGATTATTGTACATTTATGAATAAGTTTTAAGTTTGACTCACGTAAGATAAAATTTGCATTTTTTGTTTTCATCAACGTTCTTGTAAAGACAAATGAATAAGCAAAAAATAATAATGATTATGTAAAAAAATTTACAATTTACCTTTGCCTCCTTTTCGAAAGCCAATTGTATGTTGTAAATAGCTGGAATTTTTCCTCGGAAAAATTGCAAGCTTGTCGTGAAACCCCTGGTGCGAGGGGTCAAGTGGTGTTTCAGAAGGGGAAGGTTCTTCTCTTTCGCGAAATTCAGCGACGCTTCGTGCTTCTTTTTCGTAAATCTTGTGCCTTCGGGCGTCAATAATAGCTGAAAAAAACAACACAATGATTTCTTAATTTTAACCTGGATAAAGAAAACACAATAACTTCGCAAATGGGTTGAAATATACATAATTCATTCGTCATGAATACATTCATGTTTACATTCTGCATCTTTAACATTTAAATAAGCAGAAATATTACAATGTAATGCGAGCGCGAGCGCCTGGATGCGAGCGGCGCAGGACCGGTCTTTGTGGAAATCCTTGGGGGAGGAGGCCTTTGTCCAGCAGTGGACGTCTTTCGGCTGAAACGAACGAACGATTACAATGTAAGACAAACGAAGAAAGGTAGAGATGTTTGAGGCGTGATTGTCGCAGTAGTAGCGAAAATTGGTTGTGCTATGTAACAATAGCTTTTTAGTAATTAAACGTTTAAAACAAACAATACCATAGCAAAACATGTTTTGCATGCGTGACTAAGAACGGACGACGAGACACTAAGCTAACACCTGTGGCATCATAAATGAGTGTGTTTTTGCAACAAAACTGTATAGCTATCATGACCAAAATAAATTGATATTTAGACTTAGGTTTAACCGATACTTTTTGATAACAGAATCAAATATCAAGGCTATCAGTCTGCATCAAGCAGGTAATTGATTAAGGGGATAACAATGGATGTTTTAATTTGATAACGTTAGTTACAGGGCATGGTAACACACTTGAAATAATTAGTAACTTATAGAAGCAAATACTGTTTTTTGCTTTTTTCTTTTCTCAGAAATCAGTCTCAAGAGGACCGCTTCTGCAAATCACCTTTATTGAAGTCTCAAGAACGTTTTTTTTAGTTGTTGTTAAATTCCGACTTAACGAAATACTTAGGATCAACGATAACTTCCTGTTTTGTGAAGATAAAAGGCGTTAATACAATACCCAAATAGTTAACTAATCCAACTGTATCCAACGCATTAACATTTTTATCCATAACAATATTTATGATTAGGGTCATTCCATGACAAATGTTACCGAGGGTGAAAAACTAAATATGTTCTTTTCGCATTAAATCTGATGAATTTTGAAAGTAAACATTCCAAATTATAATGTGCAACAAAAAAAATCTGAAAGAAACAAGTAATTTTTAAGTTATTAGTCTTCAAAGTCTATACTTAAGTCAATGTCTGAATGATCATTTTCTCTCTAATTATTAGTAATTCGATTTAAAAAAAACTATCAATCTGTGAACCGTTTTGCTACTATATGATTTGAGTGTGTTTTCTTGTTACTTCGGCGATGTAACACCCGAAACAAAAAAACAGGTATTTGTTTTATTATTGTACCTTACACATGGATTAGCTTTGGTTGTTCTTGGTTCATATACTGCTGCTAGACTAGCCTCGTTGTTCTCTTGATGTCTGCGGTACTAAGTTTTTGTCGTCTCTGTATCTTCCAGATTAATTATTTCTTCTACTTCTTTTCTTAGTGTCGTTGGAAGAACTAAATGCGTGGTGCGATGAGATGGGCGGTCTAGCCTTTGGTGTGGGAGGTGGCTTGTTTATTCTTTGTTCTCGTACTACTGCTGGACTAGCTTCATTGTTCTCCCAATTGTATCGTCTTATTTTCTGCCTATATATTCCTCCAGGTAAAACATTTCTTGTATTTCTTTTCTTTAGCTTAATCTGGCTTTTAGTGAGACGGCTTGGTTATTCTTAGTTCTTGTACTGCTACAAGACTAGCATCATTGTTCTTCCGATTTTATGCTTCTTTTCTTGATATTGGTGGTCGGACTGAGCGTTGATGCAATGCGATGGGCGGTCTGGCTTTTGTTGAGGCGGCTTGGTTTTTCTTAGTTCTACTGCTACAAGACTAGCTTCATTGTTTTTCCAATTTTATGCTACTTTTCTTGATATCGTTGGTAGGACTGAGCGTTTCTGTGATGAGACGGGCGGTCTGGCCTTTGGTGAGATGTCTTGGTTCTTGTACTGCTGCTAGGCTATCTTCCTTTTTCTCCTGAGGTCTATGTTAGGTAGGTACTTACTGAGTTTTTGACGTTTTCTTTCCTTTACATGTTCCGGGTCAGATATTTCTTATGCTTCATTTCTCTGTGTCATAATTGAGTTCACTCTTTTCTATTTCTTGGATAGTAGATGTTTAAATTTTAGTTCCATTTATCCACAACCTCTGAAAAACTTGACCCTTTTGTTTTTTTTTTTAATAATTACTACGGCGATAACTGTGGTTTTGGGTTTTTGTCGTCTTCTTTGTTGTCTGTTTTCCCTGAGTCGAATATTTCCTTTTTTTTTTTTGTCTTGGGCTAAATAAATCTTCTCTTTTCGATTATTTGATTTGCACTTTTGACTATTCAGTCGATATTATGCGGTTCTGAGTTTTTGTCGTCTTTTTCGCTGTCTTTTGACATTATTTTTCCATATCTAGTGTTTCTTGTGCTGCTTTTCTTATTTATTTTTATGGTGGGTTAATTTAGTCTTCTTTCTTTCGTTTCTTGGATTGTGCTTGATACGGTAAGCGGACGGCTGGCCACTAAAAACGGCATTTTTAGGAGCGTCTTCATATTTTCCTAACATTAAACTGTTCGCCTTGGTGTAATCTAATATGATTTCTTTTAGTTCAATGATCTTTATGCAGGGTGATTGAGTTTCTTCCATCGTTTCCATTAAGTTTTTATTTTTTCACTGTTTCGTTGATTTTTTTTCGGTGGATATTTTTTATTTCTTTTAGTACTTAAATTATTTTCCGATGTCTTCAAGATATACATGATATTGTCCTCTCAAGGCAAAAGACACTGCTAACTGCCTCGTTGGATTAGGTTTTTATGCTCTTGGTGAAAGTATGTATTCTCATTGAAAAAAATCTTATTAGATTCAAATTTTCTGGTTGAAATCCGTTTTCCGACAAAGTTGCAGCAAAGCTTGTTGAGCTGTATGTGTACACTGTAGGTTAAATTGCTTTCGATCTGAAGCTTCTTATTGGAATACGTAGTTTCTGCAATCGATTTGAATATTTTGTGGTTACTATAGGATTTCGTTATTAAATGGTCAATGGCATGGTTTTGGTTCCAGTTTTTGAGTTTTCTTGCTATTAAATGAGTTTTTTAGGCGGAGTATATCTCTTCTGTCTATGATGAAGACCCTTTGCAAAATTCCTTGACTTCTCAGTGCATTTAAGTCTCTTAACACTGTATTTTGTTCGGTTTACACATGTAGTAGTAGTGTTTAAAACAAAATAACTGCCGAAAAATAAACACTCAGTTAGTCTGAATTGAGTTATTTAGCTTGAGCATGCTGATCTTCTATTTACTGTAATTACCGGGTCTAAATCTAGATTTAAAAAATCGATGACTAAGGTTGTTTTTAATCTAAAGGTCAATAAATGAGTATTGTGCGAGTGTGCGTCACTCTATCTGTTGTTGCAAGCGGAACCTGCATGAAGACATGAAGTTGAACTTTGGACAAAATACAGGGTGTAAGTAACATGTGTGACTCTTAGTACTTAACTAACCTAAGATTGTTATGCGTACCTACTAAACTTTTCAAACTTAAAGGTACTAAAATTTTTGCGACGCAATACCTAGGTACCATAATGCTGAAAATACCAAACTTAATTTTGGATTTATTTATAGATACCTACATCACATTTCAAGAATACAAAGAGATATACGCTATGAGTATTTATAATTTATTTAATAGCCTATTTACACAAATTGTACCTACGACATATTCGATAACAGTGTTTAGATCTAAACAAAGCAATAATTAAAGAATACTTGTAGCCTATTTGGTGGATCGTAACGGCTGTTTTATGTCCTATTAGCAAACCGAACTTTGTTTCACGAAGATAACGTTGATTGATTAGGTAATTGGGGTGCGATGGTGAGGGACCTCCTCGTGGTGCACCCTGGGCAACGTCCGCGTGGTCTGTTCACGCGGGCGGCTAACTTCTCACCTGCGCGGCAGGTCTCGTCAACTCGGCGGGCCTGTCGGGCAACCCGTAACCCACAATTGAGTGGGTCGGGGGCCGTCGAGGCATTTGCCCGGGCCACGATGCAGGGGACATCTTTAAAAACCCCCACAGGTGGGGGCTGGCGGGGCGTTTGCCCGGGCCCATTCTTTGGAGGGCCGCTCTCGGTACTTCTCTGATCAGCAGAGCTGACCGAGCAGCGGCATAGAGCAGACCGTAACCCGCTGCGGCGGGCCGGGGGTCCTGTTTTACCAGGGCCGCGAGGAGAAAACCTCTATAAAAAACAACTGGAGGAGGGGATTGGGGGTTCCCTCGAAGCCAGAGAGGCTTGCTCATGAGCGAGACTCTAGCCTGAGGCGGAGCTGCGGACGAATGTCCAACCAGGACAATAACTCGCGGCTCCGTTTCTTTGGGCTCTGGTGGAAACCGTCGGGTTTTAGTGGGTAGGCCCCGCCTTTAGTGGGTAGGCGGGGAGAGTCCCACATAACCCACTGGCCGTCCCCATAGACCAGTGGGTATGCGCAAAGCATTNAGAAAAAAATTATAAAAAAATAGTAAAACGTTTTATGTAACAGTGATTGTATATTACATGGTTTGTAAATTTCATACTTTAGAAGTCCTGTAAGTTTTAGGTATGATTCCTTAAGAAAATTCGCTAAATTTCGAGTAAATGCAGCAACAGTCAGAACATAGAGGCAAAATCTCGTAACGCCCGAAACGCACACTTTTCGACTCATATTTTCGTTATCCTACATTTTAAGCTGTACAAACTTTATTATTTAGATAAAACAAATAAAAACGGACAGATTAAGGCACTAACATTATTAAAATACTATTTCAAAATACATGAAATTGTTGAATATGTGTGTACGAACGTAACACCCGAAACGATGGAATGACCCATTAGGAAAATTCCACAAGTTCATAAAAATCATATTATATTACACATGTAGTAGTAGTGTTTTAAAACAAAATAACTGCCGAAAAATAAACACTCAGTTAATCTGAATCGAGTTATTTAGCTTGAGCATGTTGATCTTCTATTTACTGTAATTACCGGGTCTAAATCTAGATTTTTAAAATCGATGACTAAGGTTGTTTTTGATCAAAAGGTCAATAAATGAGTATTTTGCGAGTGTGCGTCACTCTATATGTTGTTGCAAGCGGAACCTGCATGAAGACATGAAGTTGAACTTTGGACAAAATACAGGGTGTAAGTTGTGGTGTGGTGTGTGTGACTTTTAGTACTTAACTAACCTGAGATTGTTATGCGTACTAAACTTTTCAAACTTAAAGGTACTAAAATTTTTGCGACGCTATACCTACCATAATACTGAAAATGCCTTACTTAATTTTGGATTTATTTATAGGTACCTACATCACACTTGAAGAATATGTAGAGATATACGCTATGAGTATTTATAATAAATTATATATAGCCTATATTTACACATATTGTACCTACGACTAGGGTTTCTGCTCGAGCTTTCTCGAACTCGAGAAAACTCGAGAAATTTGGCTTCATTCGAGACGAGAAAAAAATTACCGGAACTCGAGAATTCTCGAGTTTCGAATTTGAAGCTTTAATGTTCTTGAAAGCCAATTTTCTTAGACAAAAGTAAGTTTTTAATTATTTAATAGGTTAACGTTGCTTTTAGACTGGTCTAGTCTTTCCTTTTTTACCCGACTGCGTGACGCAAAGGAGTGATAATGTGTTTAACAGCCTATGTATGTATGTTTTTTGAAGCACTATAGAGACCAAACTCCTGGGTCGATTTTTATGATTCACACGTCAACCGATTCCTCTTAGTCCGGCGAGTGTCACTAAAGACATGACGTTAGTAAAAATTCAATATGGCGACTACTGGACGCCATATTCTCAAACTCGACAAACTATGGCATGTGGGGTATCGTTAGATTTGTTTTAACTGTGAGAGTGACACTGGGTATATCAAAATTGGAAAATATTAAAATGGTCGATTTTTGGCGACATAATATTATGTGTTAAAAAAAATATCTCAAAACCTATCGAGTGGGGTTTCAAAATAAATGTTTTTTTTTAAATAGCTTGCAAAATGTATTATGTTCTAAAAGATTAAAATAAAAATATTATTGAAAAAAAAAATAACAACAAAAAACCCAACTGAGAAAAAATGATAGAAACAAGACAAAGTGTTCACAAGTGCAGTCGGAAGCATCAAACATTAAAATTTATCATCATCATCATCAACAGCCCTTTACAGTCCACTGCTGGACTATGAGCCTCCTCCGCGGGAAGAGTAGGGGTTGGTGACAATGTATTCTATTCTGCCGTCACCACTCGGCTATCTTATCACCAACAAAAAAAAAATAGTCATTGATGCTTCCGACTGCATTTGTGAACACTTTGTCTTGTTACTATCCTTTCAGTTCATTTTTACGTAGTTAGGTTTTTGTTTTTTTGTATATGCGATTTAAAAAAACCTGTGTTTTTATCAAATTTCAACCGATTTCAACAATTTTAATCAAAAGACTCGAGACCCGAGAAAACTCGAGACTTTGGCCTCGAGAATTCCCGAAACTCGAGAAAAAAAATAGGTCGAGAAATCAGAAACCCTACCTACGACAGATCCGATAACAGTGTTTGGATCTAAACAAAGCAATAATTAAAGAACACTTGTTGCCTAATTGGTGGATCGTAACGGCTGTTTTATATGTCCTATTAGCAAACCGGACTTTGTTTCACGAAGATAACATTGATTGATTAGGTAATTTCCTTCTAGAGCCCGCGACTGTATTCTAATTAAAATCATGCTCGTATGACATTAGGTTGAATGAGAGTTCTCACTATCAATTTTATATGATAAGCTTTTGAGATCAATAACCGTAGGCAGTGATTGAATACCTACTAGAGAATGGATAAGTGTTCAAAGACAATGTTAGATAAAGAAACATGATTACCATAATTTTTCTAAAACTCAGAATTTAACAAATTTTTTTATAGATATTATTTAAGAACATAATTCAAATTCTTAGATATTTGACTATATTAAACAAATCTTGTAATAAAGCAGAAACGTCGGCGTTAATTTATTTGCGCAAAATTGGAAGTGAATTTTGAAGTGATGAAAGTGCTGATATTTTAAAAATAAATAAACATTGATTTCAGATACATATCTACAATACAACTAGTGTAAAAAGTAGGAATTTACTCTGCATAATTTGATTATGTGCATTAATTGCCTCAAGCCTAATAAATATTGATTAAGCACATTTAGGAGCATAATAAATTACTCACATAAACAGAAAAAAGTAAATGAGTAACACTTGTTTGTTTATTAATTATAAAATATTGTAATCACTCACCCAAACAGGATCTGGGTAATCACATATTTCGGATATTTGCTTTTTTATAATTTCCTTGTCCTTATCAAAAGATCTTTCTAGAAATACAAACTCTGAAAATTTCCACATCCAACCAATAGGAGGTAGGTATTGAATAGATTTTTTCGCATATGCCTTGCAATTCTGAAACAAAATTAAAATGATTATAATTAATATGCATTACAAAAACATTAGCTAATAGACCAAGTCTAATGTTCTTCATAAACATTAATTTTAGTTTCTCCCTACAATTTTTTTTTATGATTCTCATAAAATTTAATTACTGATCATTATTATGTGATTGCATTAAAAACGAGATGAAGAATACATTAGGTAATGATGATAAGTGTCTGGCACATAGCCAAAATGACCCAATTTGATGAACTGAATGTGACATGACATCATCATGGTGTGATGTTTACATACAAAGTAATAGAATGACGTGAACTAGAAGTGTGCACACAAAACTCAGTCCAAGGGGCAACTATAAAATGGCAGCTCAAGTAGCTCAGGGGACTATATTAACATTCAATTTTATTACTTCATATACAGTGTAAACTCTCACTTGATTAAACGAAAAACTCTTTATAACGTCGAGATTTTTTTACTTCGTTGGTTTACCTTGTTTTGTATCTGCTATACCATGTTACTCTATACAACGACATCTCTGTAACGTCAAAAAATGCTCAGTCCCTTGAGTGTCTTTATAAAGAGTTTACACTGTATTTAAGATGCAATAAATCTTTAAAGCCTGTATAAAGATAAAAAATTATCATTATCAGCAGAAGCAACAGTCAAACTTACCCCTAAAACTTGGATGCCATCACAAAACTGCCACCCCATGAGCCAATCTATTTCATAGCTATGATTCATGAGGAGGTACCCATGCTCTTTACCATAAAATTTTTCATATTCGTCCTTTTTAACATAGACAGACATTGTTGTACCTGACCACCATTCTGCCATAAACACTAATTCTGTAAAATATTTACGCACATTAAAAAATAATGTAAAGAATTATGTTTTGACTTAATTTTTAAGAGACCGTATTAAAATGATAAAATTATTTAAAAAAAATTCTTTTCCTTTAGCACTTATTTGCATAAACACAAATTAAAAGAATAACATAATGGACAACCTTGATTCATGCGAGATCAAAGAACCATTATCTAGAAACAAAGGTCAGTTTAGTCTTAAAATTTCGATGCCAAGGTGAAATAGGTGCCATAAACTTCCTTCTTGTTGTATTCATAAAAACAACACAGCCACATTGATTTGTATTCATGCAACAAGATTAATCAAACACAATGGTAATGGAAAAGCTCATAATAGTTTCATTGAATACTTACGACAGTAAAATGAGTAAGAAAGATAATAGTTTATTTTTCTGTACAATCTCTTATTGAATGGCTTGAGACCACAGTATAAAACGCCTTGTATCAAACTTAATATTAACCCCGATGTGAAATAAGATATTGCAAAACATAGGTGAACAATAGTAGACTGTTTTAAGACGTGCATGTTAATCATTTTGAATTTGTCAGCTTCTCTTAATACTCATGAAACCTGAAAGAAAATTTTATTATTCAACAGCTTCTCCTAAAGTTGATTCTGTATTTAATATACACATTTCACTTCAGTGGTAATCATTGTTACATTTTAATTTATGTTTTACGAGCCGCGCACCGTTTTCAATATTTATTATAATAAATCACACTCACTGTCCCTACGTGCGCACAAGACATAAAAAAATTGTTATGAGGCTTTTATTATTACACAAAAATTACCTTTGTTATCGTCATTAATTTAATAAATGTGAGTTGAAATAATCATTTAGAACGTAAACGTGCTATTACGTCCGATACAAAAAAAATCTAGTTACCAAACCAAATCCACCATGACTTTTGTGACAGTTTGCAAAGTGACTGAATGATGAATGAATTAGAATGAATGAAGAATGGAAAAGAGGGCCGGTCTTCCCTCTGGGAGGACATGTGGTCGGTGTCTATGATCAGTAAAGATATAAAGATAAGATTGCGCCCTCTACCTTTGGTTTTGAGCTCAATAAAATTAGATTTGTTACGGATAAAAACCGTGTAACGAAATTTTAGGCGAACGCGAAGGCGTGTTATTCACCCTGATGTATTTTTTTAATAAACTTGTACAACACATTTCACATTCAAGAATTAAGTTCACCGTAGAAGTTCGCTTGTCTGCAAGCGAGATAGAAAGCACACAAGAAGTCAGCGCAGACAGCATTATTTGTATTGATAAATAACCTCAAGTCTCGTTGAGACGTTTAACCCTTATTCATTCGGTTTTCATAAAATGAGACTGCTCCATAATTATATATTGTATCCACGACTTTATTTTTGACATTGACAGTTCTCTGTTTACATTTCATTTTTATTTCCTCGTGCGTTAGAGGAAATCAGCAGTTTATTTTTCTACTGAGTTAATTTATTTTCTTTAAAAATGTTTTACATATTTTAATTTCAGTACATATATGTCTCAGACTAAAGAGGCGTGATGTGATAATGGCCTTTATTCTAAGAAAATGCGTAAAAATAGTGAAAAGTGGTCTACCCATTAGAAATGTAAGAGATTTAACATCCAGAAAGACTATTTTAGGAATAGAAACATCCTGCGATGATACAGGGTGCGCAGTTGTTAACAGCAATGGAGTCATTCTAGGAGAATCTCTGTATTCTCAAAATTTAATACATGTACGATATGGTGGAGTGAATCCTTTAGTGGCATATGAATTGCATCGTAACAATATAGAACTAGCTGTGAAGGAAGCTTTAGATAAATCATCAATAAAAATTGAAAATGTTGATGCCATAGCAGTGACAACCCAACCTGGAATGCTAATTAACTTGAAAGTTGGGGTCAAATATGCCAAATATTTAGCTAAACTAAGTGGCAAGCCATTAATACCGATACATCACATGGAAGCCCATGCTTTAGCCGCTAGAATGTATGAGGAGATTCCATTCCCATTTTTGGTTTTATTAATATCTGGTGGACACTGCCTTCTAGCTCTAGTAAGAGATGTTGATGATTATCTTCTTCTTGGTAAATCCTTAGATAACCCTCCAGGCGAGATCATGGACAAAGTGGCTAGAAGAATGAAGCTAAAAAATATTGCTGAATATTCTAAAGTAGCTGGTGGTAGAGCTATAGAATTGGCAGCATTGAAAGCAAAAGATATGAATTCATTTGAATTTCCGTTGCCTATAGTGAAATCTAGGGATTGCAATTTTAGCTTTAGTGGATTAAAAGACTCTGTTATAAGAAAATTACTCAAAAAAGAGTCCGAACATGGTGTGATGGGTGATGAAATCATACCTGAAGTCCATGAATTATGTGCCTCATTTCAATGTGCTATAGCTGAACATTTAGCTCACAGAACTGAAAGGGCTGTAGTTTTTTGTGAGCAAAAGAAACTTATAACTGAACCAAATAGGAATATTGTAGTTTCTGGGGGTGTAGCTTGCAATAACTTTATATTTAAAGCTATTGAAGTTATTGGAACCAAAATGGGATATAATGTTTTTCGTCCGCCTCCAAAATTATGTACTGATAATGGTATCATGATTGCTTGGAATGGTATTGAGAAATTGAAGAAAAAATCCATTTTAGTTACAAATATAGATGATAAAGATATTCATCCTGTAGCTCCATTAGGCAAAAGTTATATTGATGAAGTGGTTAAATCTAATATACCTGTTAAAGTTACTAGAATAAATAAATACTTGAAATTGTAGTACCAGTTTTTATTTTAAATTGCACCAGTTAGGTACATTATTTACAATCATTCATTAACTGATAGATGTTTATTAGGCTAAAGGTCTATTATAATAAATAATTCACTGTTGATGAGAATAATGCATGGCCATAAATTGTTCTTCCATCTACTTGGCAGCTGCTTGTAAGTCTGAAAATGATGAAAGTAAATTTTAACAAAAAAAAACTAAATATTGGCTACAAGTTAATTTTGTTATTAGAAAAATCACACAGCGCATGTCACATATTATTATTAAACAGAAACATTCACATTACAGTTAGTAGAACAACATTCAAAAAAACATATATGTAACTCCTAATTTTTAAGAACTGTTATCTATCTATTAGCTTCTATTGGTATTATTGAAACAAAACTCATTAATTATAAAACGGCACAAAACAGCATTATTTATTTTATGACTATTCAGCAGACTATTCAACTAATCAGTGTCGAGGTTTACCCTTTATCCTAACTTACACAGTAATTAATCCTTTTCATCTGAAAGATAAATAGCAGGTATTATCAAAATAAAATCCTCATACAAATTCCGTGTCCTTAACCTATGATCTTCGTAGGTTATAATATAATATCCAGTAAAATAAAATACTCACGAGCTGGTCTGCCGTTAGCCCAAGGTGTAATTCGGACATGGGACTCGTCTCGCTTTAACGCTTCAGTCCGTAATTCAGGCTTCAGTGACCGGCGGAGCATCTTGGCAGCGATATTGGAGTAGTTTATGTAACTAAAATGCAATGGATAACCTTTAGATTTCGATATCGATGAAACACAATAAAAATACTTAGACCAATCCTAATTAATGCTTACTTTAAACCGGCTTGCCTCCAAGCACTCATGTTTACTCTTTTTCTTGCAAGTTTTAAATGCAAAGTAGATGAAACCTCTGAAAAGGTAGAAAATTAAATTTCGAATGAAAATGAGAATGACGTAACACAACTAGAGATGCGACCATATTACGCTTAGTCGAAAATCGGTTATCTATGATTTTAATTTCTCCACTGGTAATACTCAGTGAGCTCAATGAAGCTAAAAAAAAATAAAAAATATTTTAATCTGTAATATTTTGTCTTGTTGTCACCTGTCATTACCAAATGTCAATTTACGTAGGTATTTTCAAAAAACGATAAAAATTATTAAAAATAGAGAGAATTAGCTACATTGCTCCACGAAAATACTTTAAATAACTTTTTATTGTTTAGACCAATCTTGTGTTCACTGCATTTAACATAGCGAGTGGTAAGCTAGACACCATTTATTATTCAAATAATGTATTTATAACTTAGATTTTCGCATGCCACGAATGAATAAAGTAGGATCAATATTGCTTTTTGCGATCTGATAGATCTCTGCTCCTAGGGGCTCTATTTTTGTATATTTGTTTGCTACCCACCTGCAGAAAATATTAAGAACTCCAAAACTGCTATGACATACCAAACCTTGTTTTTTTGGACAAGGGGGTTTTTAAAATTATTCTAGTTTTATTACAGTGTAGTCATAAAGATGGATCCTGCTGATCATCTAATTAAACATGAAAAAATTAGTTTGGAGGAGGACCCCATCCTCATGAGACCCAATGTATCAGGCTCCAAATGTGAAATAGTCAATGAATGCCAGATGTTTCTTAGGGCTGAAGACGGTGGAGGTGATGCCCATATGAGCCTGACCGGAAACATGCTTCCAGACAAGGATGGTAATACATTTTCTATTTTTTTCTAGTTGAATTAATTAAGAAAATGTGGTCTGCACAACACTATTTTTGTAACTAATTGTACTTGTATTTTACCACTCACTATCCCTTCACAAGCTGTTGACGCTAAAACATGCAATAAAGTATTATACTAAGACTTCAAATCAAAAGCGATATTAAGATACTTGATACCATTAATCTAATTAAAGGATCAAACAATCTAACCCAGAAGGCAGTGGTAAGGTTTCTTGTTAGAACTACAGTGCTTTGTGGGAGTTATCCGTTAGCCGTTGACTTTTGTTAGAAAAATGCTACTAAAAAGAAAACGAACAAGGACAAAAAGTAACTGTTTTTAAAATGTCACTAAAAAAATGTTGATTATAAATATTTAACTGTCTATTTGATTGCAGAAAAGCCGAAATTTGTTACGTCTACTCCAGATCAGAAGAAAGAGAGTCCTTCTGACAATCTTATAGCAGACTCCAATCCTGAATGTGATATTGAAGGTATGTGAAGAGAGTAGTTGGATTTTGTCCAAAAATAAGAGGATATCTGAAATAGTAGTGTAAATTTTTTATAACAATTCCAGGAGTCCCTGATCTACCGCTGGATGATGGGTTACCTAGTACTGTGACAGTGCTGGATGCTCCGGATGGTGGGAAAGTATACTTAGTGGGCACTGCACATTTCAGCATACAATCACAGGAGGATGTTTCTAGGGTAAGAATATTTATTAATTTAATACACTTTATCATTCAAGTAATGCTGCTTTTACACTATGCGGAAATTAGCCGAGTCAAGTAAAAAAAACAGAGGAGTGGGGATGAAATTCATTCATAATTCATCCCCACTCCACTGTTTTTTTGACTTGACTTGGCTAATTTCCACGCAGTGTAAACGCAGCATAAGAGTATTTATTTTTATTTAGGATTGATGGTTTGTATAAACAATTTATCACTATTTTGTTCAGGTCATTCAAGAAGTGAACCCTCACATTGTGATGGTGGAACTGTGTGAGCAGCGAACTAACATTTTGTTATTAGACGAAGAGATTATACTAAGAGAAGCTAAGAATATAAATATCAAAAAGATAAGGTAAGTTTTTTTATTTACCTACTGTTGATATCAAATGGTTTATTAAATAAGTACCCTGTTTTTTTGGCGTTAATGTGTTTATTTATTTAGGACAACTAACAAGACAGACACAGTTACATACCTACATATTTTTTCTTAGGACTAGTTGTTAAATGTGTAAACATTGTTACAGGGCAACGATGGCCCAAAATGGGGTTTTCAACGGCCTGATGTACATCCTACTGCTGAATATGTCTGCGCACATTACGCGGGAATTGGGAATGGCACCTGGTGGCGAATTCCGACGCGCAATGGCGGAGGTAAAAAAAACATACATTTACGTACCTTATATTTGTTTTTTACTGAAGGCGTATTATCTATACTTCTATACTAATATTATAAAGCTGAAGAGTTTGTTTGTTTGTTTGGTTGAACGCGCTAATCTCAGGAACTACTGGACCGATTTGAAAAATTCTTTTTGTGTTGGATAGCCCGTTAGTTCCTGAAGGCTTTAGGCTATTTATCATCACGCTAAGACCAATAGGAGCGGAGCACCAATCAATAATATTTCAAATCTGTGAATTTTTTCCTTTTGAGAGCTGACGCTGCGTAAACGGTTAAAGTTTCGCAAAAATCATGTATGACAGGATTGTTCCCCTTTAAAAGTTCTTTAAAAAAGTCCGCGGTAGCATATGTCTATCTTTTAAGGTTGGCTCATAGTAACCATTTTTATGCAAAAAAAAATTTAAAATAATGCATTATTTGCGAAGGTGTTTTTATAAACATGATATTAATCCTTATCCAAATAAATAAATTATTCACCACAAGTATTTAATTTTAAACATTCTTGCCCTTTACACCATTCGATTTCAATAAATATCTTAGGAGATATCGCAGTTTTAAAATCACATCGCAGCAAAATAATGATCAAGTACTACGCGCGCTACTGATGGATCAATGCACAGCCTAAACCGCTGATCGTAAAGACCTGAAACTTGGACGGTGTGTTCTTTGTATGACGTAAGCATCTGATAAGAAAGGATTTTCCAAAATTCTACCCCTAAGGAGGTAAAAAGGAGGGGCAAAGTTTGTATGAAATAACGAGATTCCTTCGTCCAATCTACTTAAAATTTTGCATAAGCATTCTATAACAGAATTAATGGAAGACGTGTTTCGTATTTTAGTGAAATGCACCCCCTAACTATGTTAAAAAGGGGTAGAAAGTTATTTTAGTGGTGATTTGCTTCAAAGTTGATATTAATTACTCATTAGTGCATTTTTTTACAATCATGACGTCATGTTAACGACTACCATACTCTAGGGGCCTCCACTTAACCTCGGAGTGGGTGCCCGCTGCGTGCGCTCGCCCAACAATGCATAGTAATGCATGAAAGTCATGCCGCGGGCACCTGCTTGCGCTGTATACATAAACTCATTTTCGCGCGAGAGTTTTGGCGGAGGCCCTTGAGGTAGTGGGAGTAGTCTTGAGGAAAAGCTCCTTCTCCCACGGCCAGTGGCATGCTGGAAGCTTGGTGATTCTAGCACCCGTAGGAAAATATAAAAAAAAGTTTACCAATAATACTGCGGTAGGTGTAGTTTTCGATTTCGTTCACCGGATCAAAGGCCGAGCTGCATATTCATAAAATATAAGAAAAAAATATTTTCATGTTTATTTAACCTGATTTTTATATTTTAAAAGTATTCAAACATTTAGATAATAACGTTAAAACATTTAAAAATAATCGTATGAGAACGTTTTCGACTTCTCCACGGACGAAGTCGCGGGCAAAAGCTATTTGTAAAATAATTAGACTAAATTAATAAAAGTGCCTACCCAAAGTCATTATTCCACGCGGACGAAGTCGCGGGCACAGCTAGTACAAAATAAAAGAAAAAAAAAAATATTAAAGGTCATATTACTGCTATCAATCTTCATCTAAGTAATTCGGTCTATTGGTCTATTTTTGTGTAAGAGTAGGCACACCGTTGATTTTTAGTTGGCCGATAGTTGTGCCCGATTTCAAATTGTATGAAGAATCGGCCAAATCGTATCGGCGTAGTGTGCGCACTCCCATACATGCCCATACTGATCAACTGCCCGACTAAACAATCGGCCGACGAAAAATCAACGGTGTGCGCCTACTCTAATAGTTTTGTGCAAGAATTTAATTTTCACTTTTCGAAGCATCATTATCATTTTAAATTGTTTTTTTTTATTGTTTGTTTTAAATAACTTTTCATTTCATCAGTTAATTGTTATTGTATATTTTCCTTACACAGGCCAAAAAGATACCAAATTGCATCGTCCAGTTGGGTGATAGGGCCATTGACATCACATTACATCGGGCCTTAGCCTCTTTGTCCTGGGGGCAGACGATTAGATTTATATGGCATTTGCTCACTTCCAATCAAACTATTAGGTAAGCAATAATTTTTATAAATTTTATAAAAAACTAATTAACATTTTTTTTTTAAAAGCAGAATATGTTTATTGTATCTTTTTTATTGAAGCGTGGAAGAAGTAGAGAAGTGCAAACAAAAGAAAATGCTAGAAGACATGTTAGAGGAGATGGCCGAAGAGTTCCCCGCGCTCAAACGAGTCTTCGTTGTGGAGAGAGACATGTTCCTTTGCCATTCGCTGCAAGTTGCCGCTCTGCAACCCCGTGAGTTTTAACAGTGCATTGATATTTTGGCTAAAGTTAACAATTTTAAAAAATTGCCTTCTATTCTTAGATGCTGTTTCACCTACTCTACTACTTGATCATAGTGTCACCAACTAACGTCACTTTGCACTTACATTGTAACGCCTGAGATTTACTATCTACCGGTTGCTATTTATATCTTTATTGCATTAACTTATAGCGACCGCATAAGGCCACTAAGAAACTATTTCTACCATGTTTGTTTTGCTATAACTTGCAGAATTAAAGAGGTAAAATGTGTTTTTGAGTACTAATTGATATTTTTTCTTAGGTCGAGAACCTTGCCGTATCGTTGGAGTGGTGGGAATCGGACATGTCGCAGGCATTGTTGAACATTGGGGCAAGATCAGGCAGCAGGATATTGCGCCTTTACTCAAGTAAGTCCTAAAACTACCTAATAAATATGTTTGTTTCTTTAATTAAGATAAATAATATGAATATAGTTATAACGAGGAGACCATGGGCTTTTATGGTCAATCAGAAGAACACGCGAAATATGCAAAGTCCAAAAAGAATTTTGCATTATTGCATTATTAATGATTTTCAGCTTTAATGACAAAATGCATGACAGTGAAACATGATGCATGACAGAGAAACGTGATGCTATGACAGTAAAAACTTGTTGCATGACAGTGAATCGTGATGCATGACAGTGAAACTTGTTGCATGACAGTGAAACTTGTTGCATGACAGTGAAACATGATGCATGACAGTGAAATGTGATGCTTGATTGCAGGGTGCCTCCTCCGTCGCTGTCGACGCGCGTGATCCGCGTTTCGGTGCGCGTGGCATGCGTAGGCGCGGTGGTTTATGCAGCGTACAAGTTATTACCGCGCCGCTGGCTCTCGCCGCTTTGATCGTTGTCGCCGAGTATGGTAAGTAGAAACAGGCCTGTTCATCTCCGCGAGTTAACATCGAAAACAAAACACGCACGATGGCCCACCTACAGGATACTATTCGACAAGGCCTCACATACGAGCGAACATTGACTCACGCACGCGTATTCTTGTGTATGATGGAAGAAAATAAAGAAAATGGTTTACTAAATACTGTGCAGTATTTAACTGCCTAAATAAAAACACAGAATGTACTTTTTTAAGTTGCCTCAAGACACTGAGAGGTAAATAAGTAGTTAATATTATTCATGATAATTCATGCTAAATCATGTATTTTCACCGCCATTTTCCGCAGTTTGGCACCTTATGTCACATCATTTTACCGAAGTCAGCCCTATAGCTTCGGCGCAGTGCCGATCACTGACGTTTGTCAACAAAATGGTGCATGACTCTTGAGACAGGCTAAATTACACCATATTGTTAATAACATTAAGCATACATTTTTTAAATACCTTCGCGAAGTAAAATTTCTGTACGTAGTACTTATTATTATTCTGTGGTAGAACTAGAAATACTATAAGCAGAGGGCTTAGTGTGAGTTTACATTAAACGTCCTCACTAGAGTGCGTTAAAAAATATATGAAAATTTTAGTTCTTGAAAGTTTCCGCTAGGGGCGCTGTACAATTCGTCATACATTTAATGTCATTTTTTTACACGCTCACTAGTGACGACGTTTGATGCAAACTCACACTAAGCCCTCAGAGTTATAATTTTCGTCAAATATCCACCAACAGTACCAACACCAATTAATTGTTATGGGCGTGGTTTGTTTCATTACCAAACATACAAAAACATGTTCGCCGCAATACTCGGATAATATCCCCCGCGTTCGCCTAAGGGAGGGAATTTTGTCATATACCTAATCATTGCTTTGTTTACATATTATCAGCTAAGAAATGAAACTGGTTAATAACTGTAATTAATTTTTCTTTCCAGAAAGTTTTTATCGTCCTGGACTAAAAAAAATATATTAAAAAATCAAGAATATCTTCTAAAGAATAATCTAGTATAGAATTTTCTTAACTAATACAAGACTATTAGAATCTTATTACACAATTATTATTCCGGGTCTAAATGTAAAAAGTCATTATCGTTATCATAGCATATCATGACAACGTAAATGTAAATCTTTATCTTCGTTTGATGTGTTGGGCGTCAAATAAAAATGTAATATCGTATTTTTAAACGAGCAAGAGTGAAAAATATTATTGTTTTTTCTGGAACATTTCTTTTTCACGTAAAATAGGTACTTTAACTTTGATCTATGTTATATTATTAATGATTCCTTTTGTTTTTTTATTTCAATTTTCTATACCTACTCAATTTATGTTGTACAAAATTCGATTAAGTATACACCTCGACGTTACAAACGCGTGAAATCGGTGAAATTATTTTATATTGAGTGAGATTAATTTCAATTTTATTTTTCTCTCTTGTAATGTTGTCTTTATCACAATCAGTCCTACTTGTATGTTTTAATCACGCTGGTCAACTATTTATTGTCAAATGCATTATGATAAGCAGAGTTATTCTTGTCTGCGACACCTTTTACTTTAGGTATTATTAAAAACTCTAGCTGGAAGCGAATTTTCGACTTTTCTTGCCGTAGTAATACTATGCGATGTTCAAATCGGATAAAAGCCGTAACTTCTCTTGATTATGCTGTTATTAACTGACTTTAATAAAAGGAGGAGGTTCTCATTTAGGTATTGTCTGTATTCAGAAGCTGCTCTCAACTCTATTCTGATATGTATTTGGTAATTAAAGTTTAGAGTTTGAAGACAAAAACATTGAAAATTAGTTGAATTCTGATCTTTATGACTATGGAATTTGACAGAAACGAGCACGATTCAAATGTACGAATAGACTCGGTCAATAAGTAGATTATTTGACGCACACACATTAGATCTTATTATTTAGTCTACAATAATTCACGTTCTCTTCTCTTCTCTATATTAATAATAAAGTTTGATCTGACCACTGTATTTTACAAATCTGAGAAAATATGCCGGTATTTACAAAATATGAAAGAATTTATGCGTTAGACTGAGTAGTATACTTTTTACTATTGCACCTAGGAATATATTATTTTATTTTAACACAAAACATGATCGTCATATTAAGATTTTACAATATGTATAATGAAAACTTGTATGGATAAATGAAGTAGACTTGTAAATATGTATAGTCCGCGACAATAGATAATTTTGTATATAAAAATCGATACTAATTGATTTAATTGTTACAACTAATGCAACATTATTTTATTTTGCGATTAAAATAGGTTTAATCATGTCACTAGAGAAAGATGTAAATGTTATACGCGCTTAATATTTTGTTTGCTTGCTTGCTTAGTTTTTATTGTCACGGACTATACATAGATTCTGAATTGCTCATTATTGACCTAGAGTTAGATAAAAAGTCAAGTTTTAAACTTTAACTAAAAATAGCTAACCGTTTTGAATATCAGATACATTTAATTTTTGGCTATTTTTAGATAGGTAGTTTAAAACTTGCATTTTTATTAGTAAGATCGTCAGTTAGTATGTAAAGCTTTTACAAATACAAGGAATAATAATTGCCTGAAAAAAATACCTTAGTGCCCAGATTGTGAAGTGCCACTGCCCGAAGTGTCTGATCAGATAATCTAAGATATGCATAACATAGGTAACTTTTCCAGCTTATATTCATTTAATTTTAAGAAACTTATGAAATCTTCACTTTGTTTCAAAAATGCTTAAGAAGGCACTTACTTCTGTTAACCCCTTTTTGCCGTTTGTTATAATATCACAAAGGTCTATTTTGTGCTTTCCTATTTTTACATAAGATTAATTTTAATTTGTTGATTTTTGACGTGATTCTTAGAATCACAATTATTACGAGTAACGTTTAATGTGTAACGGATGTTTTCTTATGAATTAATTAACATCAGTTTAATGCCTGTGATAAATTAGAAAATTACAATTAAACTTTCCATCCATTTCTAGAGTAGCGGAAAAGCTCACGTTAGTTCCTTCGGTGTTAAGTATAAACATAAAATTATTTTTTGTTTTGATTACAAATATTATTACCTAATGTCCATTTCTTTTAGTTACTTAGGTTCAAATTCATTTGTTTACAAAACCACGCACGTTGTCTATTAATGAAAAATTGTTATTACTATTATACCGCTATTCCATATTAAAGTTTTGCAGCTGTAATTAGCTAGTAACAAATAAGACATTAAATACCGTATAACTTTTACCTCGTAAAACAATAGTTCAAGTGTACCTATCGCAAAGAATGGAATAATTTTCTCGTAAACTTCTAACTGAAACGTTTTATTTTAGGAATAATTATGCACCATCAGGATTAATGCTATAACTAGATTGTTTTTATATAAATATGCGAAGACACTGTTTCAAATGTTTTTCTCTTACTATGCTCGATAATAATGTTTATAGTGCGATTAAATTCGCCTGGAATATGCGTTGCCTTTAGTTAGGTCATAGATTTATCACATAATATTGTATAATGTGTGTATAAGTATAAAGAAGCGGCAATGAGTATAGTCGGCCTGGTTAGACTTAGGGCTGATTTTTCAATCGTTGGTTAAGTTTTAACTGAAGAATAGAACTGTCATTTTGACTTATTTCCCATACTAAAACTGTCAATATGCCAAACTTATTCTTCAGTTAAAAGTTATCTAGCTATTGAAAAATCAGGCCTAAGGCATACGAGTTTATAGAACGTAATATTAGTGTGCTTGTTGATGTGACGTTATTAGTGTGTGTGAAAATTGATCTTTATTGTCATAATATTATATTAAAATAAATTTAGTGTTATTATAAAAGTCATTTTCTTTCTTTTTCCGTTCATAATAATATAATCTTTCATCACTATGTATAACTTGGGTTCCTTGATTTACAAACTATACTAAGTTTTGCGTGTAAAGGTTATTACAAGTCAAAATATACTTTATCAATTTACAGCTAAGTTTTAAGTTTGCAGCGACGTATATTCAGCAATATTAATAACCCCTTTGCCGATGGCCATTAATTTTGTGTAAACCTAAAAGTGAACTCGCCCGGGAAGCGAAGGGTCGTAGGTTCGATTCCCACCTTAGGCGGTTATCACACTGCGCCGCGCTCCGCCGCGGAGCGCGTGATTTTCATATAAAAAATCACGCGCGCGGACGCGTTGTCAGTGTGAAGTGCCGCGCGTGTTTTCTATACAAACAGGTACTTGCATACAATTATTAAATCTGTCGCCCCGCACTCCGAGGCGGAGCGCGGCGCAGTGTGATAACCGCCTTAGCCAATTCGATTTTTTTCAAGTTATTATAAAAGTATTAAGTGTGAACTCATTATAAAAATGTGACAAGTAATTTGTTATGACAAACAGCAAACGAAACAAACACTTTGACAAATCAAAATCCAATATGGACAGATTGGAGCAATAATGGATTTCTAAATTTCAAGCCAAATAAAATGTTTTGTACTAACATGACCAAATTCCCAATAAATCAAAATTACATAGCGAAATATGAGATACCAAGTATGTTGCTTTGTTAGGCAGTTCAGCAAAAGTCTTGAAACCGTTGCATTGTGTAAACAGCATCAAAAACTTAACAGTAAGTGCCTACTTCTCGTAATAATTGGTAGTTGTGACTTTGCTGACTTATATTCGTAAGGCACTTTTGCTCTAGTGCTAATTTTAATTTTTCCTTCAAACTTTCAGCTCTATGTTCAACACTTTCTCGAAGAAACTATTCTGATATACCTCTACCATCTTCAGCAACTCTGTTACAAAATGACAAGCAAGCAACAGTTGTGTTACTGGGCACAGTGCATTTTAGCAAGCAGTCAGTGGAAGATGTTTCCCAGGTAATGAGGTTTTATTTATATAACAGTGATATTAATTTATTTATAAAAGCTATCATATTAAACCATCGTAATTATTGTATGTTTCCAGATAGTACGAGTTTTAAACCCAAATGCAATTCTTGTGGAGTTATGTCGACAAAGAGTGTCGTTATTAGAATTGGACGATAAGAAATTTTTGGAAGATGCCAAAAATTTTGATGCCCGCAAAATGAAGTGAGTATATAGTATGATAAAAGTTATGTTATACATAGGTTGGCACGGTGTTATTAAAGCGCCGACGCCGAGTAATAAAAAGACGCTCTATCGTGTCGGCTTAAAGAATTTGTTGTTGCGTACGTGGTCTTTCAATAGTGCACTATGTATAACAGTACCTACACTTGTTTTATTATGTTATAGGGAAGCAGTTAAAGGACAAAACTTTGTATCCGGTATGTTACACGCTATGCTACTCAAGACCTACGCCGATATTGCGAAAGAGCTAGGCGTCGCACCGGGTGGAGAATTTCGAAGAGCTTATCACGAGGTAAAAAAGTGCCTTCAAATATTATTTCTCAGTCAAAAAATTTTCCTTACTAATTAAAATGATTCCTTGTTTCTTTTCTATTTTCCAGATGAAAAAAATACCAGGATGCAAGTTGTTCTTGGGCGATCGACCAATTCAAATAACTATAGCAAGAGCATTTCAATCCTTGAGTGTATATGAGCTAGGCCAAGTCTTGTACCATCTGACTACAGCAAATCCGAAGCCTTTAGAGTAAATATTTTAATTTTTAATTTAGATTATGTTTACAGCTCTAAGAAATGGGTAGCCTGGGGAATTTAGATGACTGTAAAGTAGAGTAGCTTAGTCGAGGTTTATGTCGTTGACAGTACTTTAAATGCAATAATTATAAGGAAAGTAATAGTTAATCTCTGTTTCATTTCAGCAAACAGCAGTTGGAGAGATACAAAGACAAAGATTTCGTGCAAGCACAGTTTGAAGAGATCACAAGAGATGTTCCGGCTTTCAAAAAAATATTCCACGTGTTCGTTGACGAACGTGATAAATGTCTAGCGTATTCTATTCAGGAGTGTGTTCGTACTGGTGAGCAATATTTATAAGTGAATGCATTTTCTGATAGTTACCAACCTGATAGTTTGTCCAGCAGTGGACGTCATTTGGCTGAAACGAACGAACCAACCACTTTCGCGCGTTAAGTCAATGCAGTTCCAAACAAAATGTTCTAAAAAGGCTACATTTTTTCTTTTTCGCGCGAACTGCACCTACATAACTTTACATATTATGCATAAGTATAACTATTTAATTTGTTTTTCCTTTTTATATTGCAGTACCTGAAGGTCCCCGGGTACTGGCCGTTGTGGGAATGGGTCATGTAGATGGTATAATGAAATACTACGGTAAAATGAAACAAGAAGACATTGTACCACTGTTATTGTAAGTTATCTATTTTTAAAAAATATTTAAGTTCAGTCGTAGTTAATTTAAGTAACTAGTGTAAAGAAAAAATAGTACTAGTACTTTTGAGTACCAACTTAGTAGCTAAATTTTAATGTTAGAATGCGGTCGTACATACGGTCAATTATTCAGTTGGTAACTGGCAGAGAGCGTATCTAAATTAAATACCTTCCTAGAAGGAAAAGTTGAATTAATGAACCGCTTACTAAATTACATAATTAATAGGATTGTAGGGTATTTTTTGGCAACTTAATTAGAATTTGAGTGTGTACGACTGATTTATAATAAAATTTATTTCTTATTTTCAGTGGCTAAATTTTTTTAATGATCATCATACTGATCACAAACTCTTCTAATAAAATATTTGAAAGTTCCCAAAGGTGAGGAGTATATAATTAAAGCACAAAACGTTTAAAATTAAGGGGCCAATCTAGATTTAACTATTTTTAATAGCAATAGGATATTGAAGTCATTATGATTGAGAGTTTTATAAGGTTATTTCTCTTTCAGCCTGCCACCACGGCCGTTTTACACTGTGCTAATTCGGAAGGGATTAAAATTCACTTTTTATTTTTTACTGTTCTCTTTCTTTTATAGAATTATATTTGGATAAATAAAAATGTTCATTTACCGAAGTAATGTTTTATTTTATCTTTAGAAATTGGGCATCTGGATCCGTTAACGCTATTGTATGGGGCTATGGGGTTCCCTGATACTTTCCATTTACGCAGTTCATACAGTTCAATTCCTAGGCTGGACACAACATACAGTGCTTCCCCAACCCAACCCTTTGGGCATGTGACATTCTGAATACAACCCAGTTTTTCAAAAGACCAGCTACTTCGAAACTTGAAGAGCTCATTATGGCTACCCTGTGTGGCTACGCTGTGTGGCTACCCGGGCTACCTGCAGTATTTTATGCGATTACTAGTTGGCGCCACTGGCGCTTGACAGAAACGAGATCAAGGACGGAGGAACCCACAGATACGGGAGGAACCAGGAACCTTACTTTGTGATTAGTGAGGCGCGCGCTGGAGAACACACTATTATAAGTTGTGGCACTTTCCGACTAAATGGTTGCCCTCATTGGCTGTAAGATGCAGCTATTTATATCAGAAAGGATGGCTGCTCATAATTCCATAGACAATTTTTGTAAGTCGTGGCATAAGTCGTTATTCAAAGCCTAACATTACGTAAAAACGGTAAAATAGTAGCTTTGACAGACCTGACAGCTGTTTGATGATTGACATTTTTGATTTGACGTTGATTGATAACAGCTGTTGTTTAGAATGTTTTGATAACAATATTTTTCATAATTTTTAAGAAATCTAACGATGTTTTACTATATTTTGACTATTTATCTACTGCTACAATTCGTACAAACGTTTGAGAAGAAAAGTGATTGTGGTTGCAATGCTTTCGATGAGGGTCGTAAGTACTCTGCTGAGAACAACTTTTTAGAATCTATGAATGAAAACTTGGAGCAGTGTCATTCTAATAGCGAATTAACTGATCCAAAAGATATTCCAAACGAAAATATGTTGCTCATACCTGGTGGTGAATATCAGGTTGGCACAGACGACATCGCTATTGAGACCGACAAAGAAGGGCCAAAAAGGATGGTGAAGTTAAGCAAATTCTTATTAGATAAATACGAGGTGTCAAATAGAGATTTTGATCATTTTGCCAGAGTAACAAATTATAAGACTGAAGCTGAAGTTTTTGGAGATAGTTTTGTATTTACATTATTTCTTAACAATACATTTAAGGATCAATTAAAAGATTTTAGAGTTGTACAGGCGCCCTGGTGGTATAAAGTAGCGGGCGCAAACTGGAGACATCCTCACGGGCCTGATTCTGAGATATCAGGTAGGTGTAACAAAGTTCTGTCAGCAACATTATGTAATTTGTAACGTAGCATTTATGTCCCTTTTGTTCACAGATATTATGGACCACCCTGTGGCACATGTGTCATGGTCAGATGCCAAAGCATTTTGTAAGTGGAGAGGAGCCCGTCTCCCAACGGAAGCTGAGTGGGAGGCAGCGTGTCGCGGTGGACAACGCAACACCAAATATCCTTGGGGTGACAAACTATTTCCGAATAAAAAACATATGTAAGAAATAATCACAATACTTCAGTCTTTAACATAAATATGTATTCCTCTTTCATCATTTATAATTTTGTTTAAGGGCAAACATCTGGCAGGGTACATTCCCCACTCATAACTCAGCTAAAGATGGATTTATTGGCACAAATGCTGTAGATTTATTTCCTGAAAATGGTTTTGGACTTCATAACATGGCAGGAAATGTTTGGGAGTGGACTGAAGATCCCTGGTCAGAAGAAAATGTAAGAAACATAATAATTCATTAAATATTTGAGTAGGTATGTTTTTTGTATAACTAATGTATTACTTTTATTCCAGCCAAAAGAAAAGGTAAAAAAGGGTGGTTCATATCTATGTCATCGATCCTATTGCTACCGTTACCGATGTTCGGCAAGATCACACAATACAGAAGACAGTTCTGCTGGAAATCTTGGGTTTCGCTGTGCCAAATCTTTTTGAAACAAGTCCCAGCTAATATGCAGAATAGGTGGCAGCCAAATTTTACCAATTAAGCAGGCAGTACTTAATAGTTACCTAACGATCAAATGTACCTGCCAAGCCTCGCATTTACGAAATAGATTGTATTGTCTAATCCTAAAGATTTTTTACCCAGTGTTTTAAAAAAATTGTATGATTTTTTTAAAACACTGAAAATTTTTAAGTGTTACAACATGTATAATTAGGGATTATTTTGTAACTAGTCTTCCAATTGCATTGGTGGTTTACACATATTAGCACTTTTGTGTAATGTAATGTTATTAACTAAAAAAAGTTGTAGAAAGTAGAAGCAAAATGATCCTAGCCTAGTTTATATCATACTAGCTAGTCTAGTTTATATCATACTAACTTTCCGCCCGCGGCTTCGCCCGCGTGGAATTTTGTCTGTCACAGAAACTTTATCGCGCGCGTCCCTGTTTCAAAAACCGGGATAAAAACTATCCTATGTCCTTTCCCGGGTCTCAAACTATGTCCATGCCAAATTTCATCAAAATCGGTTCAGTGGTTTAGGCGTGAAAGAGAGAGAGACAGACAGAGTTACTTTCGCATTTATAATATTAGTATAGATAAGAGATTTATTTTATTGAAAATTGGTATAATATAATAATACTTAATATCCTATGAGAAAACTTTAAATTGTGCACAATTATTCCAATATAAAAACATGAATTACAATAACTAGAAATAATATACTTAGAAATCCACTATTTCCATTGAGTAAGCTTAGTCTATCTTATATTTTGTTTTTACGATTTATGTTATGATTGTGAATTTGTAATTTACTTACCTACTTTAAATATTATAAATATTGCAAGTCGATCTGATACTTAATAAAATTAATGAATGAATTGTTTCTGTTGAAAATTTATTTTATTGCACAAACCTTTATTCACAAATCCAAACTTTGGTGTACAAAGAGCTAAAGGTGCTAGGTGATAGTTGGCCGATTCATTGGAGCTGGACAGAAATTAATATAAGCGGAATTTATTAATAATATCAGCTTCAGCTCAAATGATCAACCTGTTACTGCAACACAGAAAAATAAACAACAAATGTTATATTAATTATACTTATGTATTTATTTGCATATCTTTGTATAAAAATTACAATAGGTACATAAACAGATTTCATTGAAAATTGAAAAAAAAAAAAGTATAAAAGTGGCGAGCTCAGTTTATGCTTAATATTACAATCGGACAACACTGTTTGGTGGAAGAAAGCACCGTATAATTTGGTAAGTACATAAAAGAAAAACGGAAGACTATAAATAAAGGAAGAACATGATAGCTAATTCTAAGAAACCCGTTAATTTGATCTTATATATACATAATTTTGGTATTAAATAAGAGATAAATTAAACAAAATAAATAAACAACACAACCGCTTTAGTGTTACATTCTAAAACTACATTGCGAATCAACGTTCGAAGTAAAATACAGTTATTGTACTTAAATACGATAAAAACAATAATATTCATTCATCAGGTATAATAAAGTCAACGTATAACAACAAAAAATGTTGCATTTGAAACAATAACGTGTCGAGACAACACATTGAACTAATCGCATCGGTCAGCGACCGCAGGTCAGCCGTCGCATCGCTGCGAGGCATCGGTCAGCGACCGCAGGTCAGCCGTCTCGCCGCGAGGCATCGTAACTCAAACTAAGGCAAGGTACTCAGGTCGCGAGCGCGAGCACCGCCGCACCGTCCTAACACTAGAAGCATCATCGCCGAACTGACAGAGTACAAACGCTATGCGATCACAAATCTACCTACGCTATAATTAAAATAAAAATTTACACCGTACCGTCTAACCGTATGTACACTAGATAAAAATCACATTTATCGCTAACGTCAACCGTCGGGGGGTCGCGAGTCCGGAGCGTGCGGTCGGCCGGTGGGCCCCGGGCCGCGGCGTCAGTTGCCGGTGGGCCCCGGGCCGCGGCGTCAGTTGCCGGTGGGCCCCGGGCCGCGGCGTCAGTTGCCGGCGGGCAGCACGGTGCGCGCGCGCGCGACGCCGTGGCCGTGGCCGTTGCTGTAGCCGTTGCGGGTGCCGTTCGCGTACGCCTCCTTCAGCATCGTGGCGCCCGCCACCGCGCCCGCGCCCGCGCTCACTGGTGCCGGTGACCGATCACGCGCACGGACCTGGAATAATCACGAAAACTTCAAATATACACTTAGAAACTTTAAAGGCTAATGTATAATCCACCTAATTTTAAGCTGCATGTGTCAAACAAGGCTGTATGTTTCTTTAATAAAGATAAATATCAGCCATTTCGTTTAATGATTCAGAAATCAGAAAGGACTACTATGCCGAGAGGTCCCGGGTTCGATTCCCGGCCGGGCAGAAATTGAAATGATTGAATTTTAATTTCTGTGACAGATCTGCATGTTACTATGTATTTAAAAAGTATATAAGTAGTATATCCGTTATGCTAGCACCAATAACACATGCATATATGTTGCTTACTTGGGGCTAGCTAGCGCTGTATGAAAATTGGACCGAAGATTTTATTTAATATGCTCTTTTTCTCTACTTAACTCTATTGATAGAGTTAGAGCGGAATAATTTAATGGACGAATGTGGAAGAAAGTGAGAGGCGATATAAACATGCATAAGGAATGCCTTTCAAAAACATGCAAATATTTCCGACACCGGATCTCCTGCATAGATAACATCAATTTATGAAAGCACTATCTATTATCTTGAGGCCAAATTGTTTTACTTTTATCAAGTGCTGGATGAATGAAAAAAAAAACGAAATAATAAATATTTTTTTCCATAAACACTATGTCGATAATTACCTTAGGTTTAGAGTAAGACTGGTTGTAGAAGTCTTTGAAGAGGAAGAAGAACATGACTGCGTGCATTCCGATCCACCAGACGAAGGCCCGCGGGTAGTCACAGTCGATGAACAATAACTGGAATGCGTGCACCATTATTCCTACGAATTGCACCTGGAAAGTAAAAAAGACAAATTATTAGAAACGTGTAGGATGTGATTTTGTAACTAATGTTAAGATTGCTTATCTGCTATATTGAAATGGTTTTCCAAATTTTAATTAGCTATTTCATCTGACCATGTAAGTAACCAACGGCCTTGGAATAGAAAGCGACTGGAGCGAGGCTTAATAATTTATTGTTAACACATAAACAATGACATTACATCACTAGCCATTACACAGACCCATTACAAAATAAATAAAATATTGTTCAGCAAAATAATGCTAGTCTTTTGTTTTCTATAAGAATACAGAACGTCATTTCAAAATAAAATGTCTGCTTTATGGATTTTTAACATCCTCATAAAAAATAATTAAATTAAATTAATCATATTGGGGTCAGTATTTAAATATCGTATCAGTGTTTTAAAATAATTTTCCTGCATTTTAGTCTCATTTATCATACAGCCTCGAACTTCAATGTCATCACTTATTACTTTCGACGCTCTGATTTGAGGCGAGGTGATTCCGACGTGCGTCACCGATGCTGCGATGACCTTTCTACAGCAATTAAATCATTGCACTATTACTTTGGAGGTTGAGCGGATACAATCGCCGGCTCGTTCCAACTATTCTATTTTACAGTTAATTACGCAAAAAAATACATCATTATGTTACATCAAGTCCTATTATACTATTCTCGGAGCGCGGAAGCGTTGTAGATGGAAAATTTAGGATTCACCCACAGATCACAGAAACTAAAGGGAGATGTGACAAGGGGGCGGGGCCATTTGGGCATATAGATGACCCACGCTGAACTGTCCCACTAAACTCAATGACAGGGGGGCGTTACCATCGTTCAACTATATGGTTTCCAACTTGGCAAAAATCTGAACCAGCGATCCGGTGTTGACGGTGGCGCCCCACTGTCAATGTCATCGACAGGATAGTCCAGTATTTTGGAACTATAACACACTAGCTGAATACCGCCTTAATGGCAATAAATAAGCAGCCTTTTTTTATTTCTAACGGGATAAAAAGTATCCTATGTCTTTCTCCTGGCTCTAAACTACCTCCCTGACAATTTTCAGCTAAATCGGTTCATCCGTTCTTGAGTTATAAGTGGAGTAACTAACACGACTTTCTTTTATATAGATTGCTCGTGACAGCAATGATGACAGCAGCGACGTCATAATGTAAACAGTTTACATTGCTTGCGTAGTACTAAATTGAGTACTAAAGATTATTCGAACGTTGAGTACCTACTTATACAACAGTGGAGCACATATTTTGATTGCTTTACTTTGTTTCTTTTTTGTTTCGAACTCAGCACATTAGTTGGCATCTCTCTATCTCTATGGACTCACCATTTGCAGGGTGGTGAGGTATCTCTTCCACCACAAGTATGGCCTCATGTGGGGGCCCATGGCCGCGAGCATGTAGTACGAGTACATGATGATGTGGACGAAGGTGTTGAGGAGCCCGAAGAACGTGGAGTGGCCGCCCGGCGTGAACTTTACGCCGAACCAGACCGACATCGGCATGACGCCGTGGTGGATCACATGTAGCGTTGACACGTGGTCAAACTTCTTTCGGAGCACAAAGAAGATCTGCCGACGATTGATGAAATTAAATAAAGAGCATTGGTCAGTGTTTTGTTTGACAAAACCTTTTTATAAAGTCCGGTCGCCGAGCAGATATAATTTCGTCCAATGACCCCAAGCTACTCACTGCGGTCGCTCTCGCACTCACTGCGGCCACCCGTCATACGGTCGCGGCAGCAATATAATTACACGCGAACGATAAGGATGGCTAGCTTGGGGTCATTGGACAAAATTCTATCTACTCGGCGACCGGACTTTAGTAAACGTTAATTTATGGGTAAATGTTATAACTAAAAGTTAATTAAATTGTAAACCGAACATTTGCTTACCGTATCAAAGAATTCTGTGAATTTTGAGAAATAATACCACCAGCAAACGTTGACCATCTGAAAAGTGCAGAAAATAGTTAGTACATAATTTTAATCAAAAATAAAATGAATTAAATCATTATAAGATATAGTAAAACTATAATTAAAAATCATAAGTTGGTATTTTTAACTGTCTGTGCATGCTTATTTCTTATCTCTGTATTTATGGAACCAAATAAAATTCAAAGCGAGTACTTGAATGATATGCAGTCACAGACAGTTAATTTTAAATTATAAAATGTGGCTCGTTAGTATTGGCGATACAATGTGAATGTAGGTAAGTTTCATGAATTTTGTTAGATTACTATTGTTAATGCATGAGTTGTGATATTTATGTACTTCTTATGTGAAGTTTTGTGGACTGATGCATGAAATGAAGATGTATGAGTGTATTTTTGATGGCTGTACATTATTTTCATGGGCGAATTAAATTTCTAATTTATTATAATATTCCGCAATACTTGCAAGTTAACTGGTTTATACAATTAAATTATGTAAATGTATATCAATTATATGATGTATTTTTAATGTCAATTTGTGGGTAGTCTCAACTGTTTTTAACCCTAAAAAAGTAATTGGTTTCAACCATGTCTTCACAGCATAAAGTTCAAATTGATGTGGGCTCTGTGGATACCAGAGCCTGGTTAAGGATTAATTTTGGATTTACAATTTTTAAGTGTTATGTAAACTAATATTAACTTCAATAAAATCTTAGAGGGATGTTGAGAAGGCGAAATTGATGTAATGTTTATTTTGTGATTTGTCAAATGTTTTACTTCTGAGCTAAGGGAAAACAAATTACAATCAACAAGCGTTTGCTAAAAAGTCAAAGCTTGTTATTAAAGTTTATCAAAAATGTGCATCATAGTATGAAAAGGATATTAGAGGGATCATGGAAGATCTTTTGGCTAATGAGTTAAAAAAGGGGATAGTATAAAAAACTAAATTGATAATTCACCCTCATTGTTTGTGGATGTTTGGAGTGGTCGACTGGCTGACACTGATAGCTATACCTGCCTGTGAACCAGCCTGATGCCCCGATCTGAAACAATATGCCGTCACCTCACCCTAGTTATTTGTATATTTACATGGTCAACACATGTTTATTGCATGTAATTGACGTGTTATCCACCACAATAAACTATTATGATGTGGAGTAGTTGGCGCTACTGTTAGTCTTGCAACTAAGCGGACAACTTGGAACTTATGCGATCACTTTTACAGTCGCTGATGCCGCCTGTACCTCTGGTAAGCTATATACAAGGTTATGTACCTGTGAATAAATGCTTAAACTAACTATGGCTATGTACAGTGAAGAGCTGTTAGTTCGTATATTTGCCAATTTTTGAGGTGTAGTAACACCAGGTTTTCACTTACTCTATTGGCTATAGGATTGTCTGAGTAGTCCACAGGTTGACACCGAAAGCTGTAATGTTTCAGCCAACCCCCCATCAAACTCTGGGTAGCGCATTTAAAATTAAAAACAAAGTTTAATCAAGCATCATTCTTTAAAACACAAAAGGATAGTTAGATAAACTATTGTTTTAGAAGATAATCATATTAAAAATCACTAAAAATAATGTTATGGAAAGGTAACATTGTTACATATTATTATTCAGTTATTGCATGTGAAGAAAATCAAATCTAACTGTGCATTAGTTAAGAGCTACTCTAATCTACTAAGTAGAATACAGCAATGACTATTTTTCCATTAGAATAATTTCAATCGTAACATTAAGTGTGTAATTCATTAGTATAATAATATGACAATAAATGACAGTAACAAGCAATACTCGCTAGTTCAACTTTGGTTGAAATACTAAATTTACATTATTTTATTGCATGTAACATTATTATATTTATTTTTAGTCATGAATAGTTTACAAATTATGAAATAAAAATTACTTACTGCTTTTAATAAGTGATCGATATCCCATAATATTTAATGGGATTATTAATTTTATTTTTCCATACTTAACATCTCTACTGATTATTAAAAAAGATGATTAAATTTCATATTCATGGAAATTAGAAATATATCTCACCTCATAAAATAGCCACGTGCTGAACAGGACTTGGATAAAGTTGTATGCTATTAAAAGATTTTTTAATTCATAAGGTTTTCTGTTTTCCATAAACCTGGGTCCTATAACCTGTAAAAATAAAAAATTCTCATTATTTAATTTAAAGACAGTCAAGACGTAACCCAAAAAAGTGATTCTTGATCTATTTTTTTAATGCAGCGATAAATATTTTTCTGCTTTGTGAATTAAATTAGACTCACCTTGACTAGATAAATATAGCTTAAGCAAATTATTAATGTAGGAAATGGAGAACTCATTAGGAACCATGGATTTGTCCGAGGATCTGAAAACAAAAAACAATTAGGAAACTGGACAAACAGGTTACGTGTAAACTGTAAATACAGGCCATTTAAATTGATATTATAATGGGATATCAGTTTGTGAACTTTCATGTAAAGAGCTATGATAAACTCACATCAGAGAGGTAATATTGGTCAGAGGGTAGTAGTATTCATGAATTATCAACAATAAAGAATTTTCTTAATAACTGATAATAGACTCAAGATGATTATCGCCATTAAAATTACGAGTTTAAATCCTCCTAAAATATTAAAAGAACCTTTTAAAGCATTATTATTCTGCTAGGTAGTTGAATATTAACTTTATATTTTGTAGTTTTGAAACCACTAATTAACCTGTTGTTTTTACCGGTAAGAACAGTTTATTTAGAAAAACTTTGTAAAGTTAAATACTTATTATTAAAAAGAATAAGTGAATTAGCGAGAAAAACAGTAATAACTGATAGATTATTTAGTATTGCACTAGTAGATTAAATAAGTGACCAGGATTTAACTTACCTCCATATTTGTCCATTATTACGTGCATGTCATTTATGTATTGTAGTATTAGCGCCATAGTGGTTAAGTCTGAAAAATGATAATAATTTTAATTGAAACAAGTGAATTTTGTAATAAAATATCCCGAAGTAGTGACAAGGGAGGATCGAGTTTTTGCTATACCTAGACTAAGAGGTAAGCAGCACACGCGTTATTTAAAAACTAATACATATTTATAAGATTTCTGTCACATTAACACATTAAACATGATTGTTTAACAAATATCCAAAAAATCGAATCACAAAAATAGGTTAGCTAACATCTCCCATAGGATTTTTCGACTGAACTAGTGATTGAAGTTAGACAGGATAGATGGCGTAATCGGCTCGGCAATAGTGATGTCATGTCAATGCATGGTGGAAGGAGGGGAGACCACAGTGCACAAGGCGGTCAATTCTCAGATCAGCGACGAAATAGTACAAGGATACGATGTTATGTAAAGTGGAATCGACATTGCTCGAGGTGGGATTCACAGCCTTTGTCGAAGACGAGTCCCAATTCCCGAGGCTAGGCTCGCGTTTCTTACGACTTGCACAAAACGCTAAAGAATTTTATGAGAAAAATCATTATCGTGTGAAAAACGGCGCGCGATGGTTTTTACACTGAATACTATAATGGATTTATACTTAGTTATTATTTTAATTTATTTATACTTATAGTAGGTCTAATTTGAATTGAGCAGTTAGCGTAAAAGTAGTAAAAAATATTAACGGTTTGAGAATTTATAACGCAAAAGGCCATTAGCCTAAAGACTAACAGATCATGATGGTTTTAGTTTGTTTGTTGAAAAAACATATAAAAAATCTTAATTATTTAAAAATCACCAGGCAATAATGTTGATGGCATTAACTCCATCAGTACATAAAGGTTTGATAAGTTAATAGATACAAATCAATTTAGTAAACAATAAAATAGATAGTTTGCTTTAAGGAATGGAATACTATCAGACACAGAATACCTACGTCATGAATAAGAATTAGATAAGACTACTTTTTAGGTCAAGGTCAAGGTCATAAATAAAATAGTGATTAACATTGTGGTACAACAGACCTAGCTACCTTTGTTTAATTTCTGTGTCTGAGTATATTACATAATACCTACTTACTCTAAAAGCTGTAGGTATTATTCTTTGGGTATGGTAACCAAATAAGTAGGTAAGTACCTACTAGGTTTTTCCTACATATATTGACACTTACATTGTGAACTAAAACTAGGAATCCGAGGCAATTTCGCCTACAGCTTGGCTGCTCGAATATCTGAAACAAAAAAAAAACAGTGTTATGTCGCACTGAAAAAAATAAGCAACACTTTGTTTGTTTAGGACGGAAAAAACATATTATTAGGACTTTTTGCAGGGTTACGCAAAGTGTAACCCAGCCCTAATGTCTTTAGTAGGTAAAGGGAAATAGAAAAGTGAAAAGTGGGAATAGGATAATACTTAGAAGTATAAGATAGTATTTTTGACTTTTGGCCGGTAGGTTGGTCGTAGTACTCTCGTAGTGGTCGGATTCCGTAGACATTACTACGTAGCGTGCTACGGGCGCTACGAATTTTTTTATTTACACGTACTTAATCCTGTCTGTGTAACTATTCGCAAAGGGAACATAATTAATTCTGACATAGAGCAAAAATAATTAAAATATTACAAACTAAATATTTTATTATTTTAGTTACTATCTGTCCTTTTATTTCTAAAGTATTCAAAGTATCTTTTGCGGTTAGTCACTGTAACTTGAAGACATCCATCAGTTTCTGAAAACGTTTACTCAGGTAGATTAGATACCTACATTAGGTGTTACATACCTACAAAGTGTTATGCTACGTTATACGTAGATAATATTATTTCCAATAATTTAGTAAAGTCCATTATTACTTCATCTTTTGAAAGCTGATTTTTATATTTGAACTCTACACGAGGTAAAATTGGCTAAGTAGTTGCTAAAGCTAAATCAATTTTCTGACTTCACCATACCATTTATATGACCATGTTAACATGGGCTAGTTTCGGCTCATATACCCATTTACCTAACACCCTGTATATGTTAATTAATTAAGCTTATAGAAAAATGATCATGAAAATGAATGAATGTTGATTACTTACTTTTATAGTATGTTGGTACTTTACGCAAACACTACGCCTCAACCCAGAGCAATGACTTAGAGACAATATTTATACGATTGTTTAAATGGTTTATTTTATCGGGTCAGATGACCTAACGTGATATTAGTAGTATCGAATGACTGCGATATATGTTGCAGAATGAAATGAGAGATACGAGTCTTAAAATTAATTTAATGTAGCAAGTGTCGTCTTTAAATTTCAAGGTTCAGATTTAAATGTTAATTTTACAAACGAGATGAATTATTACTTAAATTTATGTGTCGGCGAATATTATTATTATTATTATTGGTTTTTGGGCCTTTATTTGCGCCAACTCGACCAGGTTTGATCTATTGTGGCAGCCCTAGTCTTTAAAGTTCACTGCTTAGTCTCGTTGAGTCTATAAATTTCCAGATTCTTTGGAGCGTGATATCTGCTATCTCATCCGGGTGCATGATGTGTCGCCCGAGATGGATACTTCTTTTGCTCATAAGCGGGAAGCATGAGCAAAGAACATGCATGGCCGTTTCTTCTTCTGTATGGCAGAATCTGCACAGAGTTTCCTCGGTCATGTTCATGTTCGATTTATGTTTGTTTAGTTTGCAGTGGCCGGTCAGTATTCTAGTCACTGCACAGGCTTTGTATCTTTTGAACTTT